ATAAAAGCCCTGGATAAATGCAACCTTATTCGAACGACATTACAGTGGGATTATTCAGAGTCTTTGGGCAAAGATCACGGACTGCTTCGTATATCAATGATCGCTAGATCAACGAAGAATTACATTGTTGTTTGATTTTCATTATCTCTCTTTTTTTTTAGCCATAGAGCTACTTGGGGCAGATAACGCCTTCATTCGTGATTACCAAGCATCGGACTATACTCTCCACCGTCGGTGTTGTCCATCGTCCGCTTCGGCCCATTCATCAGTCCGTATTTTTTTCCCATTATATCAACATACAAACATATCAGAAAGAAGGAATATGTGTCCGATATCGTGAAGATCTGGAACTCCTTAGTAAGGAATGCAACCCACGTAACAAAAATAGGTCAATCTGGCATTCAGAGCCGGGTAGGTGAGTGCTGCGGCGCTGAACAGAACAGAAGTTCAACCACCGAAAGCCATAGGTGACATAGAGTCGATCAGTGCCAACTCAATCAGCTCAAGCATCCTCCCACTGGCGAACATGATGACATTCTCCCAATGCCTGCTTCAAGTGTATGACGAGATCATCGATAGTTGAGAGGAACTTCAGGTACGCAGACATGGCCACACAGTAACGACGGTAATTCTCATCACGGACCAACGACTTGGTCAGCATCTGACTGCCATGCCTGGCGCGCCACGTATCATAAAAGTGGCGGATGAGCGGCGTTGGCAATCTTTCGGGGAGGGGAGCTCCGGTCAGCAGGCTCTGCTCCACGATGCTGAGAACGGCCATGACATCGCCCACAACTCGGTCATCCAAGACTCCAAATGTCCGGGATAGTCTGTCTTGGAGGTTCTCTGGGAGCGATGAGGAGAGGCTGAGTAGTCTCCTCAGGGCTTGATTCATGGAATGGCAGTGAGCTTGGACGAGTTTCAGAATATCTTGGTTGAACGGGCCAGTGGTCAGTTCAAACTGAAGCAATCCAATCATCTCATTCAAGGTCAGCAATGACTCCGCCACATCCAGGGAGATCTCCTCGGCGACAGCGCCCAGCGGGCTATGCTCCCCATTTCGACCCCAGTGCGACAGAAGCAACGCGTAGTGGTCCGAGAGCGTCCTAAGGCAGGCAGAGAGGCTCTTGCACACATGCTTGGTGGCCGACGGGGGGCGTGGGAAAACCTGCACAACGGTCGCCGCCGCGAACCCAATCAAGACGGTCACGACACGTTTCCAGAACGCGGCGTAACCGACCCCGGGCAGTCCATACTGCTGGCCGAGGTGGTGGTGATCGAAGCTGTAGCCGACGACGAGAACGAAAGTTGCGCCGAGCAGGACGGTGGCTTTCATCCAGACAGGTGGCAGGTAAAGGCGCAGCCACATGATTATGAAAATCATCAGCCCTGTACTTGCGCCCAAACCATACGGGTTGCCTGATCCAGTTCCGGAACCCATGTACCATGCGATCATGCCCATCACTCCTCCGATTATAGTAGCCGAGCCGCGAGTGACGAGGGAGAAGGTGAAGTCTGCCATGTACACCAGGATGGCCGTCTGCGCGGTGATGACAGCCCATATCCCTCTCTCTCGGTAGAAGAAGCCGGCAGTTTGAGGGAGGGCCGCAGGAATCGACGTGGCGACAGTGACAATCACCATCCGAAGTGCATACATGCCGGAAGGGTTGAACAGCCACTTGTATGCCGCTACAACTACACGGGCGAGAGGGTTTCGCGAGCGTGCCGATGCACTGGCATAGCCACTGCTCAGCTTAAGGCGCCGGTACGCCTCCTTGGCGTCATCCTCGAGCGACGTAGATTCCTTGACAGAGTCAGGGTCTGCCTCGGGATCGTTGAAGTCGCCAGAAACGGGGACCGTTGCTTTTCCATTCAACAGCCAGGAAAGCGCATATCGGAGGCCAGTTGGGAGCCACATTCGAGTCGTCTTTCGTTCATTCATCAGGCGGAGGATATGGCGAAGCAACTTCTCCATCGCAGTCGCCGCAACCAGAACCCGTTCTTCAACAACCATGGCGAGGATAATGCCTTTGAGAGCCGGAGGGCCGAGGCTCCAGGATGGCTTGAGATCACCATTTTCGTCAAAAATATCCGAGTATACCTCGAGGACCCCTTCAGTCGTGTCGTTGACGCAGGTTGCGCGAGCAGCCGACAGTGTCGTCAGCGTTGTTTCGATCTCCTTGGTCAAATCGTCAAACTGCTGCTGCGAAGGTTTCCTAATCCATCGACAGCTATTGACGGCCTGGATACAACGACCGCTCAATAGAACAGATTCTGAGCAAGCCCCCAGTAGATCGGCCGTCGTATTCCCAAGTACCTCGAGGGCGTTGGCATCCATTTCATGTCGCTCGGGGCTTTGGAACGCTTCCATGATGTGCGCATTCTCCATCATCTCGCGGTGCCCGGCAGTCTGCTCCTCTCCGTTCTTCTCTCCCTCCTTCTTCGCCGCCTCTGCGTCCTCTCCGGACTCGGAGGTCTCGTCACGTCCAGCAAACTTCTCAAACTTCTCGTTTGAAGTGACCCATGCGATATGGACATCAAGCAGCGACAGACTGGCAACCATGGCTTCCCGGACAGATCCCTGGAGCTCCTTGATATCCTCCGCGCCCCAGCGGCAACGAGAAAAGTCAAGTGGGAGAAAGCCGATTGTCGGCAGCATCATCTTGTACAGCCCTATCATCCTCCCCCTGGCGGCGACAAGCTGCTCCAGCGGCACTTGATCACTGCCAAGCCGCCTCCGCAATGCCTCCAATGGCGTCTCGACGGTCGCGACGAGCTTGCTCATCGTGTCGAGGACAACATACGACGTCGACGTGGGGAAGAAGAAGAGGCAGCAGACTGCGCCGATGCCAACCCCAACGGCTGCCGGCTCGACGAGCAGCTCCCCGATGTTGGCGGCGAATCTGGGCAGCGTGGGCCCGAACAGCAAGAAGATATCCGTGGCGATGGTGCCGAAGACTTGCGTGAGCGTGAGCTTGGGGTTGCTGCATCGCAGCCGCGCCATCACATAGATGAACGCACATGCCATGACGTAGAACACGGTAGTGACGCGCGCATCGAGCATGAACCCATCACGGACAAGAATCAGCTGCTCCCACGTCACGCTCTGCCCCGAGGCTTGGGCCTGGGCGGTCGCCGCCTGCTGCAGCGCCTGCAGCTTGGCCGCCGTCTCCTCGTCGGAGCGCACGGCCAGCGCGGCCTTCATGGTGAGGAGGCCCCACGCCCAGGCCAGGCACATGCCCACGAGCAGGGAGAGGGAGCCGAGCAGGTAGATGAAGAGGATGCTGGCCGGCGGGACGATGAAGAGGACCAGCGCGGCGAAGAAGGTGGCCTGGCCAATCGTGCCCAGTACCGGGGTGATGAAGGTGAGTATCATGGCCACCCAGACGGCAATACAGCAACGGGTGAAGATCTTGAAATCGGCGACATTGAAGTGGTCCAGCCACGACGGCAGGCTCGGTCGTCGACGTACAGCAGTCGACTCCTTCTTGGGCGTGTTTTGCCCATCAGGGCTGCCTCCAGACATGGCGACGGCTGGTCAATTGAGGCGGCTGGTGATGTTGAAGCTGGAAAGGACAGAGACGGCGCGTCGGGCATTGCTTATGGCTCCCGAGGCATCCATCAATTCGATTGGAGGAGCAGGAATTTCGCTGCATCACGGACGGAACACGGATCCTTAGTGCAGTAAAGGATTGATTTAGCTGCATTGGTGCATGCCGTGGATCACTAGAGATTGCCACTGGATCAAGAGCGAGCTTCTGGCTGGGTCTATTCCGTCTTGGACCAGTTCCTGAGCATCATTACTGCATTCTGCGGCTGAAATTGTTCATGCTTTGGGCGCCCAGTGCTTTGTCACGGGCTGGTCATGTTCCTTACAATTTGTCATGCCGCCACTTCCTGCTTTCTGACGAGGCAGAACAAACACCTCTGGCATTTCTTTCTGCAATCTCAGTCTGATTGAATCTGGATTGGGAGAGCCAGCCCTAGGAATAAAGCTGGGAAAATGATGGGCGGATCTTGAACTCAAATTCAAATCACTTACTGCCTCCACCAAGAGCCGACAGACTCCACAGACTTGCCGGCTCACTGTCACTGTCTGACAAGGGAGCTACTTGCTCCCTGTAGAGTGCTACCACGTACATAGCAGCGTGTCTCAGTTTGAAATTTGAAATAAAATTTTCGAGCTTGGCCTGCTCCTGTACACATCGCCCTGCTCAGATACTATTATCATCCATCCTCTTCCAAAGGAGACAGTCGCGTGATCGGCTTGCGGGAAATAGCAGATCGGGCACTGAACGACCCGAGTTCCGATATCTTCCAGTGTGACAGCCCCAAGATGTGCTTCGCGTGCCCTGGATTCTCGGATCTGTCGATCCCGCCTGCAGCGTGTCACTGATGCAACGTGATCCGAGAGGCGTCACCCAGCAAGGAGGCATGTACATTGCCAAGCGCTTTAGTTACTGCCATCTGCTGCGACGGAAATCTGCCCGGGATTGAGATGAAGATGAGTAACGCCGCGGGATTGAAAAACCCATGTCCAAATCTGCCAGCACGGAAAATGTACCCACCCAGCAAAAGCATGTGAATGTCAGGGTTTGTTTGTTTTTGTTGAAAGCATCTGTAACGCCTCGGTGATGAAATCCAACACGTCATGCTACTGAAGTAGGGGCTGTGACACAATGCCGACTCTTCCGATCGAGGCTTTCTAGCAGGTAGATTGAACTATCTGGTCTCACAATGCTGTGTGGTAATCGTCATCTGCTTGGTCGCTGCCCAGACAAAGTGCAGTCACGCCACTTGAAATCACATAAATAGATTCACCAAGGAAAGGACATTCTTTATGAAACCCTTTATTACAATAATTCCACACGACGGCTGAGAAAATGCCCTGGAATTGGTTCATATGTTGGGCGGAAGATCGATCGTTAAGTCAGTGTAGGGTAGCTTGCGTGAGTCGGTCTAGGACTTCTCCCAACTTACGATGAAAATTGGTTATTAACGGTCGCGTGGCCCAATGGCAAGGCAGTTGACTACGAATCAGAAGATTGTGGGTTCGATCCCCACCGTGACCTTTGAATTTTGCCTTCTTGTCCCCTTTTCCCTTCTTTTTTTTGCATAAAAAGTGACCCCTGCCCCCTGGTCGATATGAGACTTTGCCCAGGCGGCTCGGTTGGTCTTGGCATAAGCTAACACCAGGGACCATCCCATCACCAGCTGAAAGTCATGAAGCCTTCCACATTGTCATTCATGGAGACGCAAATCTCAACTCGTTGGATTCCTACAATTGACACACAATCCCACGAGCCCCCGAGTGTCCTGGCCGCGCATCATGCTGATCGATCAACGTAGAACCTCGAGTTTCCTTCGTCAACGGTGTACGAGAGGAAACGCGGAATCCCCGAAGCAAGGTAGTACAGTAAGCTTTCATATCACCAACATGTGAAGCACCTGCAACATGTCATACTCCGGCCGGAAGCTCCCACACTTCACCCCGATCAGGACAGATGGTGGCTTGACTACCACTTCTACGGAGAGCATATCAACATGTTTTTTTCACCGGCTCTGGACTTGCTTCTGGCTTCTCTCGGAATGTTTCGGGATCCATAGCTGTCAACATGATTGGAACTAACTAAGGCAACGCTTATCACCAAGCTTAATTCGTACATAACTTACACAGCCTTATCCATAGTACGTGGAATGGTTCCATTTTTGATAAATGGCAAGAATAAGAATAGACAAGGTACGTAGAACTCGGTCTGTCTTGCCGGTCCGCTAGAGAAAAGTGCCGAGGAAGGACAGGGGTTGTCAATAAGAAGTGGCCCTGGCGTTAGGTAGCGGGTAGGGATTCGGAATTCATGTGTGGCCGATCATGCTAGAATGCCATTGCTATCGATATTTTTATTGACTACGCCATAGAGATTCGTGTGTCTACACGAAGTAATTCCATTTAAGCGGGTCTATCCGGTATCCAGGCGATGGCCTGGCACACGTGGCGTGGAACGGACGGTGACGATATGATGGGCCAAATTGCCATCACATGTCTTCAGGTGATGACTGGGGCAGAGCATCAGCCAATATGTCGGAATCTCGGGTCGCCCAACAGATTGTGGGATGGTATAAGTAGCCAGTGACGGGCCCATGGCTGGAGATCTAGATGGGCGATGAAAATTTGCATACATCAACAACTACGTCGACAACGATTTTCGTTTCTATATGGATTATACCACGTGATTATTCGAGCAGCCGCCTTCATCCTAAGAAATCAACCGATAAGAACCTTTTGCCCAACATGAGCGACGACGACACATTGGGTCCATCCTCGAAACAATGGCCGATATCCACTTTACTTATCGACCAAGCTCGAGTTGATGATTCAGTACGATCGAGTGGCTATCCTGGTGCTGGCACGACAGAAGATCCCTTCATTGTTGATTGGGTCATCAATGATGGTGGAAACCCCCTCAACTGGTCAAAGTCCCGCAAATGGGCCATGACCATGTCTTCGGCATTGACTTGCTTTGTTGTGGCTTTTGGTTCAAGCGCATACACGGGTAAGGCATATCCGACATTATGGTTTGTGGAGAGAATATTGACCAGATCACAGGTGTAATGACGGAACTCATGATCAACTTCAAAGCCGACAACCTCTTGATAACAGGAGGCGTTTCACTCTATGTCCTCGGTTTCGCCCTCGGCCCTCTCCTCTGGGCACCCCTTTCCGAAATATATGGCCGGCAATATGTTTTTATCGGAAGTTATCTGGCATTTGTTGTGTTCTGCGCGGCCACCACGGCGGACTACAACGTCGCTTCTCTCTTGGTCTTCAGATTCTTTGCTGGAGCCTTTGGATCAGGACCGTTGACGAACGCGGGTGGTGTCATCTCCGATCTCTTCTATGCTGACGATAGAAGTATTGCCATCGGAGTCTTCTCGCTTGCTCCCGCCATGGGCCCGACCTTTGGCCCTTTTATTGGCGGTTATCTTGGAACCAAGGCGGGCTGGAGATGGGTAAGTCATGTCCCTTTTTCCATGTCTTGATGTAAATATCATTTCGTTGCACGGTCTCTGACACTCTTTGGTATGCTTTGAATAGGTAATGGGGCTTGTGGCGATTCTGGCTGGAGTTTCTTGGATCATCAATGTCATCGTCGTTCCTGAGACATACGCACCAGTGCTTCTCAAAAGACGCAGCGAGAAGCTTTCCAAAGACACAGGCAAAATCTACAAAACCGCCATCGACATACAGAACGGTGGCTCCTCGTCTACCAAGGTACTTATCACATCCCTGCTCCGCCCCTGCGAGCTTCTGGTCGTGGAACCCATTGTACTGTTCCTCGCCATCTACACCGCGGTAGTCTATGGAGTCTTGTACATGCTTTTCGGAGCGTACCCCGTCGTATTTCAGCTTGAAAGAGGCTGGTCTCCCGGAAAGGGTGGCCTCCCGTTCCTCGGAATTGCTGTCGGTATGTTTGCTGCCGTGCCATCCGTGTTGGTCATCAACAAATGGTATGTGAAGGAGGCTGCAAAGACATCAAATGGCTTGCTCGAGCCCGAAGCTCGTCTCATTGGAGGTATTATTGGAGGCATCACTGTTCCCATCGGCATGTTCTGGTTTGCTTGGTAAGTGCTTGATAATGATACTGAGCTTGAAAGCGGATTAAACTGACTGTATTTCTAGGACAACCTACGAGTCCATCCATTGGATTTGCCCTGTCGCTGCCGGTATCCCATTCGGATTCGGAATGACCCTTATTTTCCAGTCTGTTTTCGCCTATCTCGCCGATGCCTACGGTATATATTCCGCCTCGGCCCTGGCTGCCAACACAGTGCTCCGATCTCTATTCGGCGCAGGATTCCCTATGTTCACTAAGAAAATGTACGAAAACCTCGGTACGCAATGGGCGAGCTCGGTGCCGGGATTTCTGGGAGTTGCCTGCATCCCTGTGCCTGTGGTGCTTTATATATACGGGCAGAAGATCCGCCAGAAGTGCAAGTATGCGTCCCAGACAGTGGGTAAATCTGGTTAAACGATGCTCATCGCGAATTCACTTTTCTGCTGTATTCTCTCCTTAACGACTTTTCATGAATCATTATCATAGACAGGGGTATAATTTGGGCAAACACAAAATAAGAATAGAACTAGTACTTCACAAAGGATATAATTAGATAGACCAATCTAGAATTAATTAGAAATTCAGCTAAACAGCAATATGGATATTATTTCACTATCGATGGCTGTTGTGCACCGCCCTCTCCTTAGCATTCTCATGGGTGCTTATCTAGCCGCTCCAGTCTCACGGCCTTGTTAGATGAAACATTGTTTAGCTCAACCGGCAGTGTGGTTCCGAAACTACAAAGTGTCAAACACTAGGGAGGCACATTTGCCGTGCTGCGGTCATCATTGCTGACCTGGTTCGAGACGGACTACTCATAGCGTTAACGCCGTTTGATGATGCCTCCACTTGGAGCAGTTTGAGCCAGTCGTCCACGCTGGGGGGATCAGACGATCAGACAGGGATTATAAAGTAGCAAACGTGGTCTCGGCGTCCCTCGGATGCTTAAACACTTCTTCTCCTTCTCACCTTCCTTACAGGGCAACATCAATACACAACTGCCATGATACAACCTTCTCTCCTGTGGTTGTCACTACTGACGACCCTGGTGGCTGCCCAGCTCAAGTGCTATCGTATCGATGGCACCGAAGCAGACTCGGTGTATGCGCCATGCAATCCCAACGCCAAGGTGAGTGGATGCTGCGCAATCAACAAGTCCAACCCCGATCTCTGCCTCGGTTCGGGCCTGTGCATGTCCCAAGACGAGGGCTATCAAGGCTTCATCTATGCCAACGGATGCACCGATCAAACGGGGAAGGATTCTGCTTGCCCTAACCCGTGTCCCAACAGTACGTCGATCACCTGATGCTTCTTCATACTCGTGGCAATAATAACTGACTGGCTACGTTATTAGACAATTGGGGCAGCGCTTCCGTGACAGCCTACAACGTGCTTCAATGTGCTCCAAGTAGCCAGTACTGCTGCCGGAAATTCGGGGACAGCAAGAACTGCTGCAGCAGCACTGTGAGCTTCAGCATTGGTTCGATCATCACGACGGCGACTACGACTGCGAGCACCAGCTCCGTCCCTGCGACGGCAACTAGCTCTGCGACCTCGACAGCAACCGCGATAGTATGCGCCGAGAATGGGATGAGCAGCAACACGAGCAGTGAATGCCCCCAGGATAAATCAGCCGTCGTGGGCGGTGCTGTTGGGGGTGTTTTGGGCGCGGCGCTGCTTGCCTCCTTGGGCGCTCTTGTTTTCTTGTTGCTACGGCGGAGGAAAGGTAAGTGGGATCATGAAAAAGAAGCCTCCCGATTCTTCATTCGAGACACTAACTTGAGCTTCGAATGCTCAGACACAGAACCATCATCATCTATTCCAACGTACCAGCCAGAGATTCCACGGCCGCCCGTGTATGAGCTTCCGCCAGGCCACAAGGTGCCCGAAATGGCTGGATGAGCAGAAGACTATTAAAGAATATCCAATTTAACCAATAAACTTAATCAATAGAGCCCCAATACCAAAGTAATACCCACACAGAGCAGTGACTGTGCTCTCCAGAATTGCCTCCTCCTGACTGAAGGGCCGCCCCGAGAATGCCGCGTGCACAAGCCATGGGGAAAGCTAAATGTGCGCTAATAGAATTGCCGTCAGCACTAATGAGAATGGTCCTGGTACTACTGTTTAGGGCTCCCTTGATTTCGTAAGATTAAGCACATCTCCCACGGAGCAAGATGTCAGTTTTTTTTTTTTGCTCCGTCCCCTGCACGGCTGTAATAACCGGGCCTCAGACCGTTATTAAAACCGGGATGTGGAAGTTTTGAACTGTCATAGGCCATGGCATATCAGCATCCAACCCGACCCTGGGGTAGACAGGGGGAGGTGTCTGAATATTCGTATCTATAATTAGGTAGCTGTCAAAGTTGGATCCATTGCTCAAAACCTCCGCATATTTCTTCCACAATTGGATAACATAAATTGACATTCGAGTGGGATAACTGTGTCCATGAACCTAACGAAGCATGTCAAGGTTGCCTGAACCACACCCTACACAGGTAAAATACCATGCCCATGATCGCTCAACAGCCCTCAGCCGGAATTCTCTATTTTGCGTTGTACTCAGCAAAGCTCTCAGAGCCACGACAGCCCCTGAGTCGTTGTTGACGTATTTGATTGTCTCCTCCACTTCCGCCAGAACCTCGCTGTTTCGGCATTTGTACACGACAAATGCGAGAGGTCGCATCAAGGAATATTCTAGCGCCCTGGTCTCGATCCCATCAAGCTTAATGCCTTTGCACAGAGCCTGTGTCTGTTTGACGAGGTCAAGGTAAAGAGGACTAAGGGAAGGCTGCACGGCCGTGTCGTTCTCTCGGCAACTGTGCACAAACGCTACATTTTCCATGTAGAGGATTTCCAATGTAGTGACCTGTAGATACAGGGCAGAGTCTGTGTCTTTCCCTTCCCGCCCTCGTCTGAGCAAAGGGAGAAAACTTGAGCGCCATTTCAGCACAGTGTCAAGGCACTTGGTCCAATCGTCCGAGGAAGAAGTATGAAGCGTGCCGTCTCTGCCACCCTTTCCATTTTCCCGTCCATGGATATGATGCCGGATGAAGTGTTGCGTAATATCCCACCACCTTGATGCCAGAGGAACTGTATCAAACTCTTTGGGCATGTCATCCACTAGATACCTGTGTTCGCGGCCACGACAGCAAAATGTCAGGGCTGGATCAAGCCTGGGTTTGGAAGTGGAGGACATGTCGAAAGACCATGGGTAAGTGATGAGACGTTGCAGTATATCGAACAATGCCGACTCAACTTTGTCAAGCGGGAGCTCAGAGAATGGCAGTCCAGTTTCCTTGCATTTCCGCGCGAGGTACTGCTCTAGCATGTGATGGGCATGATTGAAATGGGTGAACGCGGCCTCCAAGTCACCATGCATCAACTCGTATGTGAGGAAGAGCAAGGAGGCAAGAATGATCCATTTCATATTTTCTCTTCCTGTAGTCTTGATCGATTGGAGGGTTTTGATGGCCGAATGGTAATACATTAATGATTTCCGGTACTGAGTCGCTTCGAAGAACTCGGCTCCATCAAGAACCTGGTAGGAGCTGGATATTGCACCGATACCACAGCACATGTCGCGCAAGGCAGAATGATGTCGAGAGACCTGGGGAGTGAGCTCGATCAACTCAACCACAGGGAGTGTCCCGCGTTGAGTGGACATGGAGATGAACGCGTTAAAATAGTCCCAGTCTGCCGTGCTCCGGAACGCAGCCGATTCGTATCCCGGCATCGCGGGCACTCTAGAAGAGGAAGTAGCCGGAACCAGCACGATAGGCTGAGTATCGGCAGTTGGCTGTGACTTGGCGGCAGATACCACCCACAAGCCGTCGCAAACCAGGCCCTTTGCCACACACTTCTTACAAGATGGTCTTGTTTCGTCGCATTTCGTATGTCGGCGTCTGGCAAGGGTCAGCTGAGCTCTGTGGCTTGTCTACATCCCAAGTGGAGGTGGAATAGCCGCATGGGTAGCGCCCTGCGAATCGGCAATGGCTTCTGTGGAGAGAAGCTGATCGGTACTTACTTGCATTGTCTACAGCCATTGCGTGTTCTCGGAGTACTGGTCCTTGTCATCCGTGGACGATTCTTCAATGAGAACACAAGGAGTTTCCTGCTCATTGCGTGTAGATCAGTAACTGGCTGGGACAGACACGGACGAATATTACCCGAGACACTCGCAATGCATGCAGCCTCATGCACCTATTTGGAGCAAAGCGCAGTAGTTACTTACGACTGTGACCCCCCATCTTCACATTCGGGAGATGAGGAGTGTCCACTTCGGATCGGAAGAAGCTGATCCTGATTCGGCGCGATGATGGTACCCTGGATCTGGAAGGCGGCCATGTCTCAGTATATTGGCACAGGCTACGCACATGACATGATTTGGGATTGACGTCCCTCCAAAGAGCAGCAGGCAATCTGCTGGTCAAGAGAGGGCGACCGTTGTGGTGTGTCAAACGTCTGGCGGATGACGAATCAAGAGGGACCCTTGGTTGGAAAAAACAGTCCGCCAATCAGAGCTACGGATTTACGCAGTTCCTTTTATGGCCTAGCGAGGTTTTGACTTCTGTCACCAGCCACATGGATCAGGGCTGAATCCTGGCCTTTGGCTGTTGGTAGGTCTCCCTCTCACTCTGATGTTAACGGAGAAGAAGCAACCCTTGGACTTAAGATTTGTGGTGCTCAACTCCTGTAAGATTAACATGTGAATTGCGCCCCTTCTATTCTTCTGATTGATTAACTTGTTCGGATAATCCATGAATCTGCGTATCATGAGCTGGCCTGCACTTGTTTGTCTTTTAATGATTCTCAATAGAGGCACGCAAGAACAATTCCAATTTCAGCCTGTCTTCCTCCGCCCCTTTTCCACATGATAAAATTTCTAAGAGACCCTTCCAGGTTTATTCCTAAACATCAAAATGTGTAGATATAGATGTTCCTGCAAAAGCCGCCTGTACTGCCTCGTTGCACTCCGCTCCTCGGCTTTCAAAATATACATCCGTTAAATGTGTAAAATGAAGAGCAGCGCAGCGGGCTAGATACTTCAGAGCAGGGACTAGCCTGGGGTCTAGTTCCAGAATCTTAAGCGCTTTGATTGACGGCGGTAAGAGTCTTGCAATAAGCATGTCGCGATCGGAGTGCATTTCGTCAACTTCATGGGGGTGAAGACAGATAGAACGGGAAGAAATCTCCAAGTACTCCAGGAATTCGAGCGTTCGAACACTTTCAATGCAGCAGTCAGTTTCGAGGAAATCATGCTTTGGATAGATGTCCTCGGCATTTCTCCAATCAAGAATGAGACGTCTCAGGCGTCGGGCTCTCAAAGCAGCCCCGGATGCATCTGACGAACTGGCATCTACTATATCAACTATTTCAGCTCCTCCAGGCCGATAGATGAACTCGGAAAGGTTGGAAAGACGATCCCAGCCATACAATAAATTCGCCATCGTGTCATACTCTATGCGACAGTCTATCAAGTGCAACGACGTGATTTGGCTTTCCACCGTGCTCATCGGGAGGAATTCGATGAAGAAACCATTCATTTCGAAATGCTTCAATGCCGATGAGGCTGCCGACAAAATCGGTTCCGTAGCATCTTGACATGGATGTTCTAGCGCATCTTGACCATTTTCAATGTATATTTCCTCAACGTTGGGCAAGCCATTGTTGGCGATGAAGGGGAAGTCGTCCGCCCCCTCCTCTGATAGTACCATGGTGAGAGACTTTGCGTTTGGAACTTTAGCCAGTGAAAGAGCAGAGACTGCTAGTTGAGGATGCTCATTAAACAACTGCGGGCGGTTCTCGGTAAACTGGGCCATTTGGCTCTGGAAAAGGTTGGATGCCGCATCAGATAACTCTGCACCGAGGGCCGGTATACACCCTCCCCCAGCCCTGAAGACCTGGACCTTGCTGGCGAGATCTGGACGCTCACAGAGAGTCCGGACAAGCGAGATGAAACCATTTTCGGATATAGGGCAGTGATATCCAATAGGTTGGGCGATCTCACGCAGCATGGAACAAGTCTGGGAGAGGCGCACTAGGGACCGAACAAGAGTCTTGTTTTCTTCGGTGCATCTTCGCGCTTCACTCGAGCTCTTGGTACAATGAGGGCACAAGTGTTCGCAGATATTTAGGAGAGTCTCCACTGGGAGACTAACAAGTCTGAGGGCCATGTGGAAGAGTATCCAAGAGGGCCTGCCACTCCCGTAGGTGAATGAAGTAAGAGAGAGTGAGATAAATCGCTCAGTTCTAGCCTAATATTTGATCTCCCCACTTTTCCATTGTCTCTGAATACGTATCAATGCTACCAAACTGTTATCACGGGGTAAGCGTACTGTACTGTAGCAGAGTCTATGCTATTGCTTTGGTTGATAGCACTGAGGTATATGTTGGAGAAAATATTATGAACACAAGACAGTTTGGTACATTTATGAGGAATCTGATGCATCTGCTATTTATCGGGGCCAATTCTATCTCAATGGCCAGTATGTCTTCTCGCTGCAGCCATTACAAAGTACCCTCGACAGACAGGTCACACGAGGAATTTGGGGCAATCGATTTGCCCCGTTTAAGCGGGGAAGACGAAGTCGGAGCCTATATTCTCTTCCCGTACGCAAATTTCAGCTACGAGACTGCTTTTGAATTGAGAATCATTAAAGCGAGTATCTGAAGAGTTTGTCCTGGCGCTCCGTGCTGTCATCATCGATCGCAACCCCCAAACCTTCAGTGGCAACTTCACCAAGAGCCTGGTGGGAGGCGGCGTCGCGTTTTGCATTGCTGCTTCGCCCTGTGACGTAGAATAGAGTGAAGGCACAAACAAGCAGGCACCAGCTGACAACGCTGGCGATGCAGCCTTTGGTGTAGCGAGGGGCATCGGGCTCTTGCCAAAGCTGCGGCCCGACAATGCAGCCGACGCAATAAAATATGAAGAAAAGGGCCCCCACGACTGACTTTTTGGTGTTTCCTTTCACGTTTGCGGCCATGAGCGCCATGGCCTGTCCCAATGGTGGTGCAGTGCTTGCGGCAAACCAAGTGCCAGCAACGATGCCCCAAGGCTGGGCTTGTGGGAGAAATAAGACTAGCAAACTACCCATCATCGGCATCAGAGCCAAGAAAATGCCAAAGAAACATCGACTGTTGGGGAAGTAGAGCGGGCCGATGGCACCGATCCAAATCAGTGTGAAGGCTATGGCACCTCCGGGAAGGCCGACAAGCATCGTTACTAATGGTGTGTAGCCGAATCCGTGGATGACTTTCGAGGAGAACTTGAGAGTACGTCAGAAAATAAATATTTGAAGGTCCCCTGGAGTAATGTAGCACACACCTTGACGATCGGGGTTGGAATGCAGATGAAGAGAGCCATTGAACAATACAGCCATGTTCGAGGGTCGAGGAAAGCCTCCTTCATCTGAGAAACATTGAATTCGGAACGATCTCTGGTCGCTCGGTCGAGTGCAAGACGCTCTACAGCAATCTTGCGCTCATGCTCCTTCAAGAACCAGGCAGAAGATGGGTCTCGGGGCATGAACAGGATGAACAGCACACCGGCAAGAATCGTAAGGCCACCACAGACGATGAACATGACCCTCCAGGTCTGGATAGACATCTTCGCTAGGCCGATGCCATACATCATCAGCGCACCAGCTATCTGGGAGACCCCGAACATTGATACCCAGACACTGGTGATATTCTGGTCAGCTAATCAAGGAATAAAATATACACTTTGACCTGGATGCCACCTACGCTACTCTGATTGGATTCTCGCGTCGCTTATACCACGTGCTGGTTATAATCATAAAAGACGGAGCAACTGCGCCTTCGGTAAGGCCGAGGAGGAATCGGATTGCTCCCAGGCTAGAAAAGTTCTGGGATGCTCCCAAACAGCCTGCCACTGCTCCCCATAGAATGCTAGAGATGGGAACCGCACAGTCAGTCTCCAGAACGAGTGAGGAACCAGCCTCCGAACTTACATGCAAATACCAATAAATCGCACCACGTTGAAACGACTCATAAGATAAGCAGCGGGGTACTCCGATACGAACTGTCCAAAGTAGAATAATGAGACTGCCCAAGAGTACTCGCCGTTCGTGAGGTTCAGGTTATCGGAGAGCCCGAAGACAGATGCATAGTTGATACTCTGCTTATCTAGATATTGGAAAAAGGAGACCAAGGCCATCAAGGGCAGAATAACCCGGTCAAGCTTTTTGATAACGGCCTTTTCTTCGTCTGGATCAATGACATAGTGAACAGCTTGCGTATCGTCTATGCAGTCGACTTTTGGGTCGTCAGCCGCAATGCTATGTTTGTCGTTGCTCATCTTCGTGAGAGAGGGTTTTCGAGATGGAAAGACACTGGTTAGGTATTGAGGAGGGAGTTGAGAGTAATGGGGATGGTGGTATGCTGAAGAAAAGGGAGCTTTGTGAACATTAAGTAGTTATAACCATATCCTGCAATCTAGGCCGGCTCACCTTCATTCCCCCGACGTGATAAGAGCCCAGAACCTTTGAAACTGTGGGGGAAGGGAATCTGGAGTAAGGAGGATGGGGAATCCGGGGTATTCGGCCTGGATAACCCACGGATGTGAGAAGCCGCAGTGGGGCTCACTCTTGACAGGCAGCGGCTGTTGTTGCCGCAGCCATCGCCAGATGTTCAAGATATATTTCATGTTGTAGGTTTGGTTGTTGTTAGATTGGTTATTCTTGAATAAATCACAATAGGACGTCCTTTCGACTTTTGCAATAGTCCTATCGCCAAAATTTAGCCAGACCACCCACCCCTGAGAAGCGTATTTTCTATTCTTCACCCACACATTTGCCCACAATGAGCCCTTCAGCAGTGAGCAGCGACGAACCTATCGTTTCCAAGAACACTTACCGCCCAAATATCTACTTGCTTGAAGAATTCCCCCCAGCTGCAGTGGAACAATGTCAAGCTAGATTCCACACCATCCTGCCCTCAGATCCTGAGGTGAGAAATTGGAAGGAGAACGCCGAGTCTATACTGGTCCGGGAAAAGATTATCTCCGCGGGAGATATTGCCGGAGCCAAAAGGCTACGGGCGATTGGAAAACAGGGCACTGGAATTGATATCATTGATAAGGAGGCCTGTGACGAGCGTGGGATTCCAATTCTCAATACCCCTGGAGTAAATTCCGTCTCGGTGGCCGAGCTCGTGATGGCCTTGACCATGGGACTCAAGCGTCAGCTTCACACTATATCTATCAAGCAATCGGCTGGTGTTGAGGTGAGGAAAGAGCACTGTCAGGGCACTATGATGTCCGGAAAGTCTGTTGGTATCATTGGTATGGGTGCCATCGGTACCGATGTTGCCCGTATGTTCCAAGGCGCTTTTGGCTGCCATATCTTTGCCTATGACCCCTTTGCCCCCGAGAATGCTTGGAAGGACATTCGCCACACCCGGGTACAGAAATTCGAGGAGATGCTTCCCGAGGTCGGTATGCTCACTTTGCATATTCCATTGACTCCGCAGACAAGAGGTCTCATATCTAAGCGCCATTTCCAGATGATGCGAAGTCAGGCAGTTATTATCAATGTGGCACGTGGCGGTATTATCCAGGAAGACGACCTGGTTGAAGCACTAGAGACAGGGCTTATTGCGGGAGCTGGACTCGACTGTCACGAAGTCGAGCCGCCAGTTCTTGGAAAATATTCACGGCTATGGGCAACGGGAAGGGTCATCAGCACTCCGCATATTGGGGCGACGACAGTTGAGACGCAGGTGAGGACTGCCACAGCGGCCATGGATAGAATCTACGAGTATCTCAACACTCACCGCATTTAGTTCCTGGCAAGTAGACATCAATACAATGCTTTCTATCCAATGTCACAGAGTACATAAATAGGATTCCTCTTGACTAGGTCAAGGGATTTACCTTTTGGCCTAGAACGGTGGCTTTTGATATCTAATAAATATCAAACAAAATTAAGAAAACTGTCTAGTTGCAGATGTCCAGTTGCTACTCCTCAAGCCGTGGAAGCCAATAAGGGACAGACATTGGCTCGCTGGCGTCGATTAGACAGTACATATAATTAAATGATAGAGAGTATATGCATAGTGGTCAGACACATGAACCAATAGATCGAATCAAAGGTCGGCTAAAAGGCTTCGGGAATTGTTCATAGTATCTGCCCCTGGAGGGATAACCGGAGCTGAGGTTTGGACGGTGGACTCAAATGTCTCGGCAACCACATCCGTGGACTATATCTACCGCTTGCACGGCCCTCAAGCTGGATCGGTCTCAAACATCCGCCGTCAAAACAGACCGAGGTTGATGATAATGTACTGGATTTGTTACGGTAAAGTGATCCCTGGCAACTCGGAGGATAAGAGCAAACTACTGAGAACCATTGTAACGAAAATGAATTGACAGACGTCTACCGACGAACGCATAAATCTTGGGGACCTTCTCGGCTCCTTTTACACAAACGGACCACCCCAAGCCCAACACTCTCCAACATGACTACCCCCACAGCCATCAGCACAAATAATTTGATCTCATTGGCATCTCAGAATAAGATCTGCACTGCCTTTGGAGTGAAAATTTGCCGAGGGGTTGAAATTGTACATATTGCAAAAGCCTCTGGTTATGACTCTCTTTTCATTGATTTGGAGCACACCTGTATGACTCTCCAAGAAGCGTCACAAATATGCATCGCAGCAATCTCGGCTGGAATAACGCCATTTGTCCGTGTCCCCCACCAATGCGGAAGTGGATTTATTCAAAGAGCGCTTGATGTTGGTGCTATGGGTGTGATTATCCCCCACATTCATGGAGTCGGTATGTGAGCACGCGTGAGCACTCTGCAGCCTCTTGATTGTTAACCTGATTTTTTTGCCGTTCAGATGACGCCAAACGTGCCATTCAGACCACCAAGTACCCTCCCATGGGTAAGCGTTCTTTGAGCGCAGGTTTCCCTCATTTCGAATACGCATCTCCCGAACCCAACCTCTTAATGAAGGAAATGAACGACTTTGGTTCTCTATGCTTCATTATGATTGAGACCGCAGACTCCCTCGCCGCTGTTGAAGATATTGCAGCAATTCCTGGGTGTGATGTGCTGCTTGTGGGATCTCAAGATCTGACCTCCGAGATTGGAACTTTTCCTGACTGGGACCATCCTAAGTTTTGGGAGGCCCTGATGGCTGTTGGGAACGCAGCCAAGAAGCATGGAAAGTACATGGGCATTGCTGGCCTTTATCACAGAAAGGATATTCTAGACAAGGTTATCAATGAGCTAGGAGCAAGATGGATTGTCGGTGCTCATGATGTCGGACTTCTTTCCTCAGGTGGCCGCGCGAATTCAGACCTTCTTAGAAGCCTACAAGCAAACTAGATTTATACGAACTCATTTACTATTATGATTTAAGAAAAGGAATTTGTTGCCCTTTCGAATTGTTCCCAGTCCGTCTCAACCGTTCCGTCCAAGATAAGATCATCCCATGGCCCCAGAGTCGTAGAATCAATGTCTGTGCTATTAAGAGAAAAGACATCAAAGTTCCCATCAACAAGGCCTTCAAGGCCGCTCCAAGGTGCCATCATTGTAAAAGAGGTTCCAGAGTCGTGCTGAGCAGCAGATTGATTTGCTTGGTTTGAGTCATTTTGAATTGGTGCCGGACTTTCCTCTGAAATTTGCATGACCGTGTCGGAGATTTCAATAGCGATGCCCAATCTTGAGCACATTTGTCTTATGTCTAGGAGTCGGTTCATTGATGCCTTGTTGCCGCATTTCCCCAGATGGTCAAGCAATGAGACGGCAGTTTGAAGCTCAGAAGGCCCCATGGGTGCTTTGTGTTCTGTGACCTCTGCCATGACGAAAACAAAAGCGGCCGAGAAGATGGCGTCAAGATCAAAGAAACCGAACTTTGCTAGAATCCCCAGTTCAGCTTTTTTCCATCCTTGATACATGGAGCGAGGGAACGGAGAGGAAGTGACCGACCTAAGATATTTTGCTGCTTCGCAGCATCAATAATGACTAGAACCTTTTTTGCAGCTTCGATGCAAGTGCGACAGAATTTGTCTAGAGGCGAGTTCTCGTTCTGCGAGGTAGTTGATCTAGCGCCCAGCCTTGATCGAGCAATATGCAACAAAGTTGGTCTCGTAACAAGCATGACGGCCTATGTGACGTGACATGTTAGTATTTCGGTACCCGAATCGATGGAGGTGCTCATCACCTGGAAGAGCATAAGATAGAGAGTGGCACTAGTTCTTGAGAACGAGGAAGAATCTGAGGTTAGGTCGATCACATATTGTGATGGCATTTCTTGTTGTATTTGGAAGAGGGCGATCAGTATGTTTTGCGTCTGGATAATGAACTCTCGATCAGACTGAGACTTGCGGCCATATATCTCTGCACAACGAAAGCCGGATTAGCAAACAGTAGGCATTGATACTACCGCCGTGGACCACCTACCTTGATTAATGCGGCCTGTGATTTTTGCTAGTTTTATATTGACATCCAGTGCGGACACTGGCTGAAAGCCTGGGGAACTCCATGGTGTTATTGTGGTGATGGCATCATCACTGACCCCGACTGGATTTCCTGTTGCAGCGGCGAGCCGTCTACAGATATGTTAGGCCTGCGCCATAGCTGAATGACATAAGCATCTGTCAAGCATACCTCTCTTGCATGTAGATAGTCCACCATAACCTGTTTTTGTGAACAGCCTCCGAGTTTCGCTTTGACCCATCTTGTCTGGCCATGCCGTTGGAGATAGCTAGTCGCAGGCCCAAACCTGCCTTTGTGTTGTTAGCTGGACATTTTATGTTAGTTTCGCAGCCGGATATCACTCACGTATACATATGCGTCATCTTTACAGTCGGCACATTGTAGATAGAACACGGCAAGCCCCATGATCTCCACGCCGATGCTTCCTGCACGGCGAAGCCGCGGTAGTCCAGGGATATGCCTCACTGCCTCGTGAAAACAATCGATCGCGGGAAATACAGAGTGTTGAGATACTTTGCCTTGGAGAAGCTCCCCGATGGCAATGATCAAAAGAACCTCAATGTCCCATAGCGACTGGACCGATTCTTGCTTCGGGGTCTGTTCGTAGACTATAGATATATGGTCAGACACAGCCCTCGGGTCAACTAGATGTTGAACTGTGCCCAATGAGGTAAGGACGATCTCTAAAGAGCTCCTTGCTGTCTCCTCGGACGGCCAGAGGAAATTTGAAGGCCCTCCTTGGTTCCATTCTGACTGCTGAGCAAGGTTGTATGCATCCTCTGGTGACTCGGCTATTTTGTCGTGAGGGTAAAGCTGTGAATGGCTTAGGGGTAGGGTTTCCTTAGACAAACCCTTGATCCGGGATCCAAACCGTAGACTGGAGGACATCACAGGCTCAGGTATAAGAACTGTGCAGTTATTTGTCAAAACAATCCCAAACGAAGATGGAACCAACAATAGAAGACATACAAGAGGATGAAGCTTGGCTCTGTGACAGGACAGAACGCTGTGTTTGTGGGCTTGAAGTCTCACCTTCAACTTCTAGTGTTGTGCCCCCATCTGGGTGGGTGAAGAGTGCGTAAGCAAAGGCCGTATTTACTATTAAACGGATCTATTACCTGATCTTAACTCTGCGATTGGTTCACGAGAGGCAGCCCGCCGTTCAAGGTCTTCAACGTAACTGACCAATCAGCCATGAATCAATACCCTGTGGGAGGATCATAGCAGACTTACGCTACCGAAAAGAGCTTCTTCTTATTCCTCTCAATGTCTGGAAAAATACATTCTTGTTGGCGCTTGGCGCAGTAGCGGCATGGATGATGGCCAGAGCACTTGATCTTGCGGGAACGGCATGATTTGCAACTGTGGTGATGTCAGCCGGTAGTCAGATAGCCGAGGCTGAGGGCTGGGACAAACGCCGTGGAAGTTCGCGCCGGCTCAATAGAGGAAGCAGATTCATTTGGCATGACAGATTGCTATCCCTCGCACCAAGCACAGCTTCTTGGACGGTTATTCAGTTGTAGGCCGGCCGTGATTGCACGGCGAGGAATCAATTTCTAGAAATATAGACTTTGACTCGTTGTTATTTGCCAAAAGCGTGACGAATTGTCGGAGCTTGAGGTCACCTAATGAAAGTGGGAATCGACTAGAGACTTGGCCCCCCATGGATAAGGAGTCTCGTCCGGATCTATTTATTCAATTGGTGACGGAGAGGGGGGTCACGTGCAAGGTAATGTCTTTGGATCCACTACGCTTCGCCATCTTCAGGAAAGAAAGAGGGGTGATTATTGGGTGATCGCAAACATTTGGCTACCAACTCGCGAACTCCGATCATTTAATTATCACTGATGAGCGGCTGGACTTTGACTGAAAGGGATCAAGCATAATTTTCTGCCATCTTCCAAGATGAGGTGGGAAAGATTCTTTGCCTGTTGGAAGCGACATATGCTTATATTAAGGGAAGAATTTGGGACGAGATACATATCATGATACCTGTACAGAAAATGGCTTGCCAATTAATTAACTCGATAACCACCTGGTTACAAACTATATTACATTCGATTCCAAATTATCTCCACGCACGTAGTTACCTGATGCTTGCCTTCAAGCTTGCTCTGACACTCATCCTGACTAGATTTTGTACTAGAGAAAATTGGGGAGCATCCCTCTTCTTTTCAGTTGGCTGAGACTCCGAGCTATCTCCAGTCTGATCTTTACTCCAGTGACTCCACGTGCTCTCAAGTAACGAGGAGTTACCGAACACATTGCCGATGACATTAACAAGTGAAGACTGAGAGTCACTGCTGAGGATACCGCTAAGGATATCCCCTGCTAGTGTCATAATGGGAATCCTTGTGCTAATAATTCTGTTGTTTAGAACTGATTCCACATATTTGATGTGTTGGCCATTGACAATTGTTGAGTTCCCAGTGACGATGAGATCGATAGCCCCAACAGTCAAGGCATCTTTCTGGCTGTCTAGGAGGGCGCCTAAATTGGGAATAAGCTGGTCGAGGTAGATCTCACCGTCAAAGTCGTTTGTATTATTCCCGGGCTTGAGTTCCACGTTGTAAACATTAACGACACCGAGGTGAACGTCTCCGGAGATGATGTTCAAGGTGAGATTCCCTAGACCAAGTGTGAGGACCCCCGCATTTGGAAGGATGAGCTTCCCTCTGATGTTCTTGCTACTGCCATCCTGGCCCCCTGTGAACTCTAGCTTTTCAACCGTAAAACCCTGAAGGCGATTTAACCCTGGCACCTTCACCGTGAGATCCATCTTGGGTTCATAGTTCAGGGCCCCAAGACTGACTTTGGGTCTACCAGATAGGGAGAGTTCTGTCTCTGCTTGGTCGAATATATTGCTAAACCACCAAACTAGCTGCTTTTCGTTCAAAACTTTCACTGTCTGTTCCTCAACCGTAACAGTGGTGTTATGATTAACCTTCACCTTAGGTAGCTGGATTTTGACGAAAGGAGAAGGATCATCGCTATCTTTGTTGTAGAGATTCATCTCGAAGGGGTTAATCATGGCCGGTAGCGGCGTGTCGAGTGAGGTCTTGAGAGTGACGGAAAGCTCGTCTGGTGAAACGGCTCGAATGACACCACTCTCCACCGGTAGACCTTGATTGTTGACAATTTTTTGGACGATGGCAGGAATTATGACTTTGAAGCTTTGAGTAGTTAGCGTATGTGGAACTTCTCATCTCCAGGCGGATGGAGTTTCGCTTACAGGATTGGGAGCAAAATTACGAGAAATATAAGCAACCCGCCTAAGTACCACCACTTGAACTTGGCACAATGGCGCTTAGCCTTCTGTCGCTTTGTGATGGTCTTCGTTGGTTTCTTATCCATTACATGGTCGATTGAAGAGGCGCTGTCATCGTTGGAATGATTGGATGCCGTCGCGACAGCAGCTGATGCCCTGCTGGGCTGGGCATCCTCACTAGTACCGTGGAAAGGCAGCATGAAGAGTCGAGGGCTCCCTTGACTTGAGGGCCTTTCCATCGAAACTGCTTGTGCAGTTTCTACCGTCGCCATCTTGGAAATTTCTTGAGGAAGATTTGACGCAAAAACGAGTCTACCCTTTCAAGATCTGCGCGCGGGGATGGACGAGGAAGCACGATGGCGGCCGTACTTGATGGTCGGCTCTGCTGCTGATACTTCTGAACTGAATCTCACAATACTCGCGGAAAGAGATGGGCAACCATCAGAAAAGGCCGAGGTACAAAATTGTTGACTTTCACATCACATGGTGGGTAGTGCGTTAATTTACTCCTCTTGGGGGCTTTACTGCTCGGTTCAGCCAAACAGAAACGGAAAATAGGATTGGCAGTGAGGGGAAAGAGAATAGCTTTCAATATCATCCCAATTTGCGTCACTAGGTCAACACATTTCTTAAGCCGGCCCTATGCAATGCTACCTTGTCGTGGGGTGCATACGCGATGGAGGGCACACCATATGGGTCGGTTCAATATCCCTATCCGCGTGATGAGATACCAGAGAAGTGACTTGAGCGTGGCCCGCATATACATTGAGCTCAATCACATCTCTGTTCTATCACAGTTGCTACCATATGCGGGGTGCGGACAATTGTGGGCAGGGAACATGGTAGATGCCACCCATCCTGGCTCCCCCCCCTGCAAAAAAGCATCATGTAGGCGTGATAACTTCGCTCAGGAATAATCCTTGTCTAGAGTGGTATCAAAGAATAAGAACTGGGTGACGTCAAGCGGTTCAATATCCCGATTCAATGCCCTCCTAACCTTTACTGAGTGCTGCACGGCTAGAACTTATGCGAGAGTGGCTATATTCGGAACGAAATATTTCGTGGAGTATAGGTAGTCAGAGGGGTGAATGGCGGGGTTGATCTCAGCTGTTTACGATCTCATTATGAACGGGTCATCATAAAATCTAGTGTGCTACTCAACACCATCTCAACAATTATACCGAGGTCTAAGTTTTGCAAGAAAACGTGATAGATTTTGAGGGCAGGTAAGTTTGAGCCGAGTGCGGGACAGAGCAATGCTGAATTGTGGATAGTTTATGGCGGTAGTGATCCTCCAGAAGCAGTTTTATGCTCTTTGTAGAATTAACTTGGATGTGCGTTGGTAGTCAATTGTACAACCGAGAAATCTTGGTAAATTCCAGGCACGGGTATGAGCTGCCTGTGTATGATTGAAACTAAATAAGACTAAGCTTAAAGTAATACAATAAATTTCAACTCCACGAGACTGCCTTCTGCCGTGATGCTATGTTTCAATTTAGTTAGATCACACCCCGTAAGAGCGACGCTACAATGAGGGAACTCGGACTGGAAATGTTATTTATTCTTTCCCTAACAACTCTTTCAACAATGCACGAACAATGTCAGAAACAGTCGCGACGAGCTATAAGATTAAAGTTAGTCAATGTCGAGGGTTGTAGGAAACGGGGGGACTCACAGGGGTAGCGTCACCAAGTAGCTCGGATGCATTAGAAACAAATTCTCCGGTCACAAGCGTCTGTACATTATCAACTACCTTTAGAAGACTTTCAATGTTCTCCGGCGTAATCAATGGCAGTAATTTATCGACAATACCCTGGATGTCAATTTTCTTCAGAGCGTCCAAGACTGGCTTTAGAGCATCGACAATGCCAGTCAAGTCAACACCTGCCAAATCATCAAGTAGAGGCTTAGCAGTATTGAAAAGACCGACAATATCAACCTTCGTCAAGACATCAATGAGACCAAAAACGCTCTTCAGGGTCTCTGGTGTCAAATAGGGTTTCAGAGCATCAAACAACCCTTGTATATCAATATCGCCAAGGGCATTGATGATAGGAACAAGCTTCTTGGCTAATTGGGTAATATCAATCTCTATAAGAGCATTGATGACCGGGATGATCTTCTGAACAAGCGTAGAAAGGTCGATCTGTGTCAAGGTGTCAATCAGAGGCATGAGCTTCTCAACGACATTCTTGACATCGATCTGGGCAACGGCATCAAGGACGGGTTTCAGCTTCTCAACAAGATCCTTGACATCGATCTCTCCGAGAATATCCAAGAGTGGTGTCAGCTGCCCGATAATCTTTTTTAGGTCGATTTGAGTAAGGGCTTCAATTAATGGTAATGCTCCACCAATCAAGCTCTTCGCCTGGTCGACAAACTCAGCCGTCAACAAACCCTCAACATTAGCTACCAATCCAATGAGTCCGTTGACACTCTCGGGTGTAAGGAGAGGCTTGACGGCGTCGAGTATGCCTTTGAGATCAAGTTCTCCAAGCAAATCAAGCAGAGGTGACAATTGGCCAATAAGCTTGCCAATATCAATTGTCGCCAACTCGTCGAGCAGAGGCTTAAGTTGATCGACAAGCTTGGGTAGGTCTATCTTACTTAATGACTCCAACAATGGCCCAGCACCGCTGAGAAGCGATTTGAGCTGGTCCACAGACTCGCTTGTAAGCAAGGCCTCTGCATTTTGTAACAACCCAACAAGACCCTTCACGCTGTCGGGGGTGAGCAGAGGGGCCACAGCAGCAAGAATTCCCTCGATATCGAGTTTACTGAGCGACTCTAAAAGTGGAGTAATCAGGTTCACCAACTTTGAGAGATCGATATTGCTCAGTGAATTAAGTAGTGGCTCGAGTTGGTCGAGTAGCTTTGGAAGGTCGATCTTGCTCAGTGAATCCAGCAATGGGCCTGCGCCGTTCAGAATTGACAAAAGCTGGTCTACAGATTCACTGGTAAGCAGCTTCTGCGCATTGGATAGCAGACCAACGAGGCCGTTGATTGATTCTTTTGTGAGCAGGGGACTCAGCGCGTCAATTATTCCTCCAATATCAATTTCCATGATCTTATCGATGAGAGGCTTGGCTACCGTAAGAAGATCCTTTAGGCTCTGAACTGTGGTTTCATCCAAAAGTAGACCGGCGTACTTCACCAGGGACACAATTCCCTCAATCGACTCCTTGGTCAGAAGTGGCTCGAGCGCGTTAATGATACCCTCAAGATCAAGGTCAGTCAGCTTGTCGAGGAGGGGTTTAGCGCTCGTGAATAACTCCTTTAGGCTCTTGACTGTCTCCTCGTCGAGAAGCGTTCCGGCATTCTTGACTAGTGCGACGATGCCTTCCACAGACTCCTTAGTTAAAAGGGGCTCGAGTGCGTTGATGATGCCCTCAAGGTCCAGGTCAATCAGCTTATCGAGGAGAGGCTTGGCACTCGTGAATAATTCCTTTAAGCTCTTGACAGTTTCTTCATCGAGCAGTGTTCCGGCATTCTTGACTAGTGCTACGATGCCCTCAATTGACTCCTTAGTGAGGAGTGGTTCCAAAGCATTAATGATACCCTCGAGATCAAGATCGATGAGCTTATCAAGGAGAGGTTTAGCGCTCGTGAATAACTCCTTCAGGCTCTTCACGGTTTCTTCGTCAAGCAGCGTTCCGGCATTCTTGACTAATGCCACTATCCCCTCAATTGACTCCTTGCTTAAGAGCGGCTCCAAAGCATTGATAATTCCCTCAAGATCAAGATCGACCAACTTGTCAATCAATGGCTTGGCACTTGTGAGCAACTCCTTCAGACTCTTGACGGTGTCCTCGTCAAGAAGTACCCCGGCGTTCTTGACCAAGTTGACAATTCCCTCCACTGACTCCTTTGTGAGAAGCGGCTCTAGAGCGGTGATAATACCTTCCAGATCAATGTTCGTAAGCCTATCAAGCAGTGGCTTGGCACTCTTGAGCAGCTCTTTGAGGCTATTAATCGTGTCTTCATCAGCGATGTTGAGCAGATTCTGAATCTTGTTGATGTTGTCCTGGCTCAGGAGCGGAAGTATCGATTTGACCAAAGTGGGAAGATCAACATCCTTAATTATATCGATCAATCCCGCAAGATCGAGCTCGCCGAGTGTATCAATTAGAGGCCCCCCTTTGGTAAGAATATTTCTGACCTGAGATGCGGTTGGTGGCTGAAGAGTCTCGCTCAAATACGTGATTGTGTCGTGAGTGTCGTTCAAGAAGTCAGCAGTTAACAAGCTGCCAAGGGCTTTGATGAATTCTTTGAGTTCCGCAAGGATGTCGCCAAGATCAGTAATGCTTACGGCGGGTGTCGAGATAGTGTCTGTGCCGTTTTGCCTCCTGAACAGAGCTGCAGTTTGCTGACGCTCTAACCTCGTCTCCTTGAGCAGTTGTGTAAGTTCCTTCATTACATCGGTCAATTCAGACCGTGGAACTAGCGCCAAGCCATGTTTTTCGAGCAGCTCAACGAGCTGTACCTCAGCGTGAGAGGCGGTTGGGGGTTGGGCCACGACGGAGGCCCAAAGGTTTCCGGACGCCAGAGCGCCGGCAAGCAGACTTGCGAACCTCATTGTAGCAAGACGCTAGTATTCGACGTAAGAGACGTTGGAAAGCTTCTGATATTGGATTGGAGAGAAGGCAAAGCGGACAAGCCATCGAGCAAATCAAGGCTCCGTGGGAATATAGATAATCTAAGGCTGCCTCAGAGCAATGCTTTAGCTCGGCTGCTCGCAGCCGAGACGTTGCAGACACAACCCACATAACTAAACAAAATATTGGTGTCTCTTGCCACGGGTTACTATCTGATCTTTCGCTATTTCGAGACTCCATCTCCCGCGCAGCTTATGGCCAGGCTGCATCTCCCCATATTCCCCCGCTGGCGATCACCCCGGACTGCAACGTTGGAGAAGGATGCCACAGTGAAGCCGGACAAGCTAATACTAAGCGGGAAAGCACCTCGCCAAACTGCGGGGGATTAAGGTACAACAAAACTACCTGCTCACGTTCCCTGAGTGACTTGACCCGATAATCCTTGCGCTTGGCAGGCTGGGGTTGCTATCCTACCTAACCCAGAAGAGAGCTCGTTGTTGTCCCCTTGTAAAATAATCATACCTTGGCTGTATTCAACGGTCAGCCAATGCCAAGAAATCTTGCAGCCCTCACGCACTTCTGATTTTGAGAGTTGATGCGATTCAGAAAATCGAGAGCATCGCGGGGAGTCAGAAATTAACCGAGGCCTGGTAAACACCCCATGCCATCTTGAGATACCTACTTTACGAACAACATGGCTGAATGGTGGGGTTGAGACCAAAATTTGTCCATCCCAGACACTTTGCTACTCTTCACACCAAGTCGGATCAATTAAGGCTGGCTGATAAACTGGTCACGCGGCACCGATGCCCCGACCTTGCTCTTGCTATCCCGAGGTCCTACTAATTGAATAGGCTAGATCTGGATTGCTGTCCAAATTTACGATACTTAAATATTTTTTTCGAACACCATGCCAGACAAGCATTGTATAATCGGTGCTTGTGGGCCATATTGTTTGATTGAAATACTTTCCAACATCCATTCAACAACGGAAATCCTGAACCACTTGAGATATTCTGACAAGGATTTTCGAAAACGAAGAACAACAAAGGAAGAAGTGGAGGTAAATTGCAAAGGATTTCTTCTTTTGAAACTAAATTATTTGTTTAGGGTCTAATCTCTTGAGACCGTCCAGACATAAGCCTCAGAAAGGACTCATGATCCTGTATAGTGGCAGCGAAACTGGGTGAGAGGCCAGGCGGCCCTGGATTCTATATCATGATGATTTACTCTATAATTTGGCAATTGGAACACGAGACATACATTATTTGCTGGGGGATGGTACAGCATGCTTCAATGTGAGTTCTTATGCATTGGATGCTACATATTCCCCGACTTGCATGACAGCTTATGTCCCCTCACAATCTCCCTTAATCATGAGGAGCCATAGCTGCTGTTTAGACTCATCATGTCAGAGCTTCGATAGTCATAATCAAAATAATAATCTTCTTCGTTTATTCACAGTTTCTGGCTCCTAGTGCAAGCATTGAAGATAATTTTAGAATCATCAAATTTGACTAATTCTTTAGAGCCCAACGTTTTTTTTTCTTTCTCTAAATCAAGTACATAGGAAACTGCGACTCTATACAATTTCTAACCCAGCAAGAGTATTGATTGACTCTCGAGAACTTGATAGATGAATCAACTTCAGGAGCTAACGGTACCTTATACAACTTCACGCGCAGAAAAACTGTAGTTATTCATATTAATTAATCCTGTTGGCTTAAACTAGATTGTGTATTTTAGAACTAAAGTCCATATTTAACCCATTGACTCCTAACATGCAACATGAGTGATGTGAGCGGGATGAATCTCGCGGAAGAGAGTTCGAGTATAAAGTTAAACAACAATGAAAGATGCCAGACCCGACATCTCAACACAATAAATACGAAAGTTTAAAAAAAAAAGCCTTTGCTAGCCTAAGGCTACAGTCATGCGGACAGATAAGTCTATAAACCTTCATACTGATGGCTCACTTGCTGTTGGGACGAGCTGCTCGTCGAATAACAATAAAGTATGCCCTCTTTCACCTGGCTTCACACGTATCTTAGAGGTGGAGGGGATCAGAGAGTATAGCTTTAATAGAAATGCTTTTTAAGCTTCAAAACCATAATGAGAGAGAACACAGTGAGGAGGGGGGATGAATCTCACGTTATGACCTTGATAAGCGCGTCGCGCAATACTCCGTTACTGGTTGTAAACGAGGATTAATATATATTCTTGAAAGGCAGATTTTCGTGAAGTAGAGTTCTGAATCAAGCCATGCAGATCTCCGGTTTCTTCCGCTTCGTTTTACGAGGAGGGTATGAGGCTATTGCGAGCTAAGACCCGTAAATTGACAAGTAGAAGCTCTGATTGTTATTTGCTTTACATAATTTTTTATCTGAGCAATAAAACATGAATAACCAAACCTTTTGCTGCGAGAGAAACTTGAGTTCAGCCAGAATCAAGGAATCGGTATCGGGAAAGGAAGGTAACCTGCTGATGTTACTGTATCTCCCGGAGATCACCACTTGGCTTTGCCGTCTGATTGGAGCCCCAGCGCTCACATCTGTGTCGACCCCGCATTCTACCTGGGATCGGCACTTTTCCAGTATGATATAGTAAACCAAAATGCGGGCATAAGCAAGATTTTTGACGGAATGTGATGGTCCGAGTGTATTTTGGTCATGGGACGCGGTATCACACGACAAGTAGCGACATTCTGCATGCAAGCGGCTTCCCTTAGTTGCTCATCGCACCTTGGCTGGAGTTTGGGGGGATACCCTCAATATGGTACATTATCCGCAACTATTCGAGAGAGGATAGGAAGATGCCTAAACAGGAATGAACGGCCGAAGAATCAGGTGTTGTGACAATGAGCTAGCTATCTGGAATACCCCGAAGCTATCCTTTTTGTTGAATTACATCTTCTGGTCTATATTTCGATCGATTAATAAGCGCGAGGGCGCTTACTAGGTCGGTAAAAACGCTTGCGAAAACGTATCTGGTTCTGTTTCTTATCGAATAGTATGTAAATATATTGCGGTCTTCAACGCTGAAACGGCTTCCAGCGTTAACTAGTACTTGCGAGAATGATTCGAGGCCCGCGGGGGTTTATCTACATTAATCAGATGTGGGACGCGACTCTTCTAGCCGGTGGAGAAGATATCTTGGATGCGAATCTAACCGTGAACTGAGGGGTGCCATTCGGAGATGTTTATCATTCGCGGCCACAATCCTGCCTTGACCTTCCTAACTTAAATCTCTTAGCCAGAACTATGTCGATCCCCGTCCGAGCATAAAATGGCATGATATCCTTGCCTTAAGACGATCAAATGCTGTGTGTCTGGTGACTCAATAGATTATCAAGTAAAACTTGGGACGATCTTTGCTTCCAGAATGAAGTTCTTGACAATCAGCATTTTCATCGCCCTTGTTGCGGCAGCCCCAACAAGCGTCGTTCGTCAGGAAGACAATCCAGCCCTTAAGACGCGACAAAGCAGCACCACCAGAAATGAACTTGAGACCGGTAGTAGCTCAAGCTGCCCGGAAGGAATCCTTATTTACGCGCGGGGATCAACAGAGGCCGGCAACATGGTAAATAATCTCGGTTCTGGCTGACGTGTGTCTGTTTACTAACTGTGAACAAACCCAAGGGAGACGGAGTTGGCCCGCTACTTGCCACCAACGTTGCAAACCAAGTCCCCAGCCTGTGGGTTCAGGGCGTTGGAGGACCTTATACTGCCGGGCTGTTTGAGAATTTATTGACGAGGGGCACAAGTGAGGATGCAATTGATGAAGGAGTCCGACTCTTTAACTTGGCAAACAGCAAATGTCCCGGCTCTGCCATTGTGACTGGTGGCTACAGGTGAGGAATGACTTCGCTTGATGTATATCCGTCTGCTAATTGTGACTTCATTCATAGCCAAGGGGCCGCTCTTATTGCTGCGGCCGTGAGCGATCTAAGCGCCACGGTGCGAGAACAAGTAAAGGGCGCCGTTCTGTTTGGCTACACCAAAAACCAGCAGAATAATGGCCAAATCCCGAATTACCCTGCAGAGAGAACTCAGATCTACTGCGCCGACGGAGACCTTGTGTGCGAAGGCACTCTAACCATCTTGCCCCCTCACTTCTCATATGACGATGAGGCGGAGGGGGTTGCCGCTGATTTCTTGGCGAGTAAAATCTAGGTAGCAAGATGCATCGCGGATCTCGTTTGTTGCTGTCTGTTTGAGAGGAGCTCAGTTTACTGAGGAGGCTTGATCTTGCTTGGTTACTTTTTTAGGCTATCTCTTTAGTTATATTCATCTAATATCATGATGCTTCTGGTGTTTTGGTGAATCACAAGCTAATGGTCGTAACCGTGAAGGATGTGAAGGGACCCGTGGTGATACTCTCACCAACTATTCATCCGAATCGCTTAATTCATGGCTTTCATGCGTTCTATTTTAGAGGACAGAATAAGGCAGAGAAGTAAGCTGGGCTGTACCTAAGTCGAAGACAAGGCATCCTGAATTTAATGACAAGTATCCAGAAATACTCTTGTGTTAATCAAATAATTCTGTAGTTGATAGAGTGAAGGAGACGGTGAAAATTGTACATAGAACTGTTTGTGAGCTGATGAATGAATCGAGGGAGTTGCGCGCCTGCTAGCTCGCCATCCGGCTCCCCTTAACCCTTGGTGGCATTGAGTTCAAGATGATCGAGGTATAGGGTGGTTTAAATTGAATGATATTCTTGACATGCGCATTGTAGTTCGCTTCTGTTTGAGAAAGCATGTGAGCTGAATGGGCGCCTTTGTGTTCTGTTCGGCAAGTAACATTGAATAGTGGTGGGATCTGGCAGATGTTTACAATCTAGAGACGGAAAAGGTATGCTCCCAAGTAAGAAGGCATCTAAATGACAAGACTTGGCTCTTTTACTGTGTCAAATTCTGTTGTTTATTTGCCTTTGTGTTGATCACGCCGCGTGCGCCTCGCGAGTTGCTCTCCTCAGGTTCGCGTCACGCGTATCACTTCACTCTTTCCGCCTCAGGTATCTGTTTCTTGCCCACAAGACTTCCCCATTCCCATTTCTCAAAATAATTCCAAGGCAGTCCCTCAAAGTAAGCCGTTCCATTTGCGTGAATGGCGATGCTGAATCATCTCGCTGACAACATCATTGGCAGAAATAACTACTTGACTTGCGCTTTGCCAACATGAGTCCAGCAAGGCGCAGGGCGTCCTCATCTTCCGATCCACACCAAGAACGCCAAATGAAAGTCGCAGCACGCGAAAAAGCTAAGCGAGATGTCACAACGTCGCTTTCAATGGCCTGGAACGGGCAGGGATGGATCCCCGATGACATTCGCAACTGCCGTCGCTCGCCTGGTTCGGGAACCACAGACTTGACCATTCTCAGACTCATCTGGAGAGTTACACAAAAGGCCGTATCCATGAACATAAGTCTCCTTTCCTTGTGGCAGCCCGATGGAGTCTTACGCGAGTCGTACAGCGACTCCGCCCCTATGTGGCGCAAGAACCTCCATCAGGCTGCGAGGGATGAGAGCTGGAGTCTCGGAGCACCGCGGCCTGAAGGCAACCAATTCACAGAGCGTACACATCAATCCGATTTGGCCGATATCGTCACAGTGAGCGATCAAGATAAACCGAGACATGAATTTGGCACAGAGGACGAGCCAATGGCGGATGGAGACACTGAGGGTTTCCAAGAAACAAGCGCTCACGTTTCCGCAGACGAGGCATCGATTTGCATCTGGGGTTCCATAGACGGCTCATCCATCGAGGAACTTGAAGAACAGGGTCGGGAATTGAAGATCGAGGCTGGGCATGCTACAACCCGCATCATGCGTACCAAAGAACTTCCCGACAACATCCGTGGGAAGATTGCAGCATTGTCGGACGTTCAACTAGGTGTTAAGTCACTCCTTGACAATGGATTTCGGCGCCCCGACACTTCGACACCAGATATGAAGGAGCATGTGAAGTTTCTAGAGGACGCTTCGCAGCAGCGCAAGCTCAGCCTGGACAAGGAGCTGGCGGAAGTACTCAATGAGGAGAGAGCCAGCCATAGAGACCTCTACAAGATCCGAGAGAAGCAAAAGCTCATTGCGCACATTTTGAATTACAAAGCGGCTATTGAGCGATCCGACGTCTAGTATTTGGCAGCTGATACGGGTCATTTGACTTTCACGAACATGACTCGAGTTATACTTTCGCCGGAGGAGAATTTGTCAATCGTCTGGCGTGATGGCTGTTGCGGTTGGGATTCGACACGATGTACCTTGCGCTGTTTGCGTGTGAGAAGAGGGGATTGAGATAGCATCAGGAAGTGCAAGCGATTACGAGAGAATTAGAAAGTAAACTACAAACTACAGTAGTAAGAGTAGTAAGAGTCAAATGTCAATTAATGTTCAAAAAACAGCCCATTAACCAGGGGATTCCAGTCCGGAGCCAGATGAAGTCACCCTTCAGGCATGTTTTGACATCTCCAGATCGTCGTCTTATTCAAAAATGTGTTTATGTAATATCTTTATATGAAAGAGGTGCTACCTGTATCGCACAGAGTCTCCATTAGCCTCAGAGGACTCAAAGAAGCGGACAGGCGACGGAGAGTCATGGTCCTCAGGAACAGAGAGACCAGCCTAATCTGCTTAGTTTTTTCCAAACCAGGGAACAAAAAGAATTCATCACAGACCGTCAATGGGTTAGGGCAGTCCGTCAGCACATCGTCCAACGTGGAGCTGGTCAGGGGCTCAGCTCATTCGCCGGCTCGGCACGTTATTGCCGTGCCGCATCATGGATCAGGACTAAACAACCACAACTATGACGACTTGTGTGTCAATCGCCGTGGAGCAGGCCTGTCGCTTGTCCAGGCGCTTTGTCCTCTCCATCTCGATGGCCAAGGAAGCAGCTTTCTGCTCGAAATGTGACGTAAACGATAATTGTCGCGTCATCGCCAAACAGGACTGATGATGATACACAGCTCCTGGCCTATAATAATCTAACTCTGCCTTTCGAAACAGAGAAACTTTACTCTCCTGCCACTAGAGAATTGAGTTTATTGAAGAGACCTGGGAGTATCTGCCACCAAGACCTTCGGCATCATGCGTTTCTTCAATCGCACCAACCACGTCGCCAACGGCCACACCAACACCCACGCGACTGACCACACTCCCGCGACAACCACGACACGCGGCCGCCACCACCATCATGATCCCTACACCATGGAAAGACGCCCTACTTTTGGCCAGTGGCTCAAGTGCACATGGCTGGACATTGTCACCATGATTGCAATGGGCGCGATTGGCCTTGGTGTAAGTCACTCTAGCTGCTTACATGAAACCTCGTAGCAAGTCACTAACTAAGCTTATTTGTAGGTCTACATGGCTAAGCCGGCACCCTCCAGATCATTCCCCGTCACGTTTTCGGACGGTGAAATCGTGTGGCCCGAATTTGGCTATCCTCTGCGGCATGAAATCATTCCCATCTGGCTTGCCGCGTTCCTGGCCAGTGTGGTCCCCATTGTCATCATTCTGCTCATGCAGATTCGCATCCGTTCTTTCTGGGACGTGAATAACAGTGTGATCGGTCTGCTGTACTCTCTCATTGTCGCGGCTGTGTTCCAGGTCTTTCTCAAGTGGCTCATTGGTGGACTGCGACCCCATTTTCTGGATGTTTGCAAGCCAGACATCAGTCTCGCAAGCGATCAAGGCTACAACCGCAAAGGCTTCACGAACATTTACTACACCAAGGAAATCTGCACTGGTGATGAAAGTCAGATCAACGACAGCCTGGAGTCTTTCCCCAGTGGCCACACCACCGCTGCTTTCGCTGGCTTCATCTACCTGTACCTCTATCTGAACGCAAAGCTCAAGGTCTTCTCCAACTACCACCCCGCCATGTGGAAGCTCATCGCGGTATATGCTCCTGTCCTTGGCGCGACCTTGATCGGAGGTGCACTCACCATTGATGAGTTTCACAATTGGTATGATGTCGTGGCTGGAGCAGTAATTGGTACCGTCATGGCCTTTTCAGCATATCGCATGACTTATGCTGCTGTTTGGGATTGGAGGTACAACCACATTCCCCTAAACCGGAGTGGCGCATTCATGTATCAGGCCGAGGGTGGTGAATTATTCGATGCTGTCTTTACCAGGAAAGGAGGATGGGGTGCACATGGCGGAATTCGGGAGAAGCGACATCACAATGGCGCCTTTCACCACTCAGAGCAGCCAACCATCCCTAGGAAGGCTGTTGGAGGAGCCAGAGGTCCCGAGGAAATGGTGTAATGAGAGAGCAGCGCAGCCATGTTTCTTTGACGGCCTCGATGTCGACAGGTTTCCGCGTTATGGATGAGTTGATATGCATGCACGACAGCAACGAAAACTATTGAAGGTTAATTTATTTAAATTTGATTAAGAATTAATTTCTTCGTAACATAAAATGAATGAAAAAAAGTTAATGATAAAATCAAAGAGGGATTGCCAATCTCACTCTGGTCGAGCGGTATGCTGATCCGCTTGTCGCACTCGTGTTTGTCCGATACAAGAAATCCTCTCATCGTAGTGATTCATTTCTGAAGATGTATGTTCAATAGCTCATTCTGCCATTTGGCTTGGATAGTTAGACCATACTATGAATAGTTGAGACTTTGGGACTCTTTATCAGTGGTGCAAGTCAATAGTATTCGCCATGGCTCGGCAACTGGAGAGACTAAAGTTCTGTATAAACCCTCAGATTACCTAAGTAAAGGAAACTCTCACTTCGACTTCATGTCAAAAAGCCTTATCATAAAGGTGAATGGATGAGTGGAGCAAGTCGCGAATACCAAGAAAACTTTAGCCAAATCCTATCTGCATTTGTTCCTGTTTCACCACCCCCTTTTATAAAGATACGATAATTTGCTTCATCATTAAATGGTTTTGGGATAAGATATTGAGTTGAGAAGGCTGGCGCATCTCATGTCACTTGAAGATGCTACTAACCTCGGTTTCGTGTTTTGATTGGGCCATGTGAAATGGTCCTGATTCCCGTCAACAGCCGATCATTGTCGGTAATTTCGTCACCAAGCGCCCGTCCGGAAGCCCACATATTCAAGCCATCAAATTGAAAGCTTCACACATAGTCAAGGATCCTCCTGCCACTCGAAACTCGTACGCGCATGCCCCATAGCTCAGTTCCATGCTTTCCATCGGCTGACTGAACATGCAGGTTCTCTACGCCGATCCCCGACCGGATATTGAGTAATGTGAAACTTGATGTGAGACGAACACATCTCTTACGGAGTGGATCGGGGAGAGGATACACGTGATCGCGATGATATAAGAAGAATTGACAACTAGTTTGCAGTCGCCTCCAACTCATACTTACAACAATAGTGTTGCAATGAAAATCTCCACTCATCTCAGATCAAAGCTTGAACTGAAGAATTGATACACGACCGGGGTCGTGATTTGTTGGCTGAAGCCAGGCACAGAGCAAGAACGAATGCACACTTGCCGGTAGCCGTCTGGAATGCTTCGCACTCCCTTCCATCAGTCTTACATGACATCACGTTTCACCAACCTCCAGCAATGCTAGCTATTTTCCCAAGCAAAAAGGCTTCCCCTTTAGCGGGGAGAATAGCGGCGGAAACAGATATGGCCGAATTGCGGGCTGAGAGTGTCTTACAAGAAGGTAATGGCCGATCCGCGACTGGTTTTACCTCACGTGCCGTTCGTTCCAAAGCATCCCTCGAGCGGCGATGCCTGGGTATATCATAATTTGTTATTTCCTACAGTCGCATTTTGCTATGGATAATAATACGAGTTTAACCGCGAGCACTTAAGTTCCAAACATTGTTCATCTGTTGTGATTTCCTTGGAGGCAGTAATGTTGTAATTTCTAGTCCGACAACTGCTTACCATCTCACTTGGCCAATATGTCATTTTCCTCCAGCGACGATGACAGTTCGGCTCTTTCTCTCCAGTCATCCCTTGAGGACCTCTCGCTGGAATTCACCACAGACCGCAAGTTCATCAGATGGGCGAATGCAAACCCTCGACACCCCCGGAATTGGACGACGAACCGCAAAGTCTATGATACCGCCATCATCATATGGCTTGAATTCTTTACGTATGTGTTGAATATGGATTTTTAGATCTTATGAAGTACTTTTTACTAATGATTCACTGTCGTTCAGGACTGCCATCAGTGCAAGTGGAGTGCGTGAATCCAACAAGGCAGTGATAATTAGAGTCAGCTCACACAACTAGGCCTCGGCAGCAGCAGACGCCCAGCACGAATTTGGCATTTCTCACACACTGTCTATATTCCTTTTCATTTCTATGTTCGTATCGCTCGCCCTTCGCATCGAATCAGTTCGCTTGTTTTAACTTACCCTGATCTTAGATATCTCTTTGGACAGAGTATTGGCGGCATTGTATGTCCTCCGTTCTCGGAATGTTTCGGGAGGCGATGGCTGTACATCATTAGCATGGCGATTTATTGCATTTCTTGTTTAATCATTGGCCTAGTGCCCTCAATCTCAGGCGTGGTAATTGGTCGTTTCTTCAGCGGTTTCATGTCAGCCATCCCCACGGCTGTGGTACCTGGCAGTATTGAGGATCTCTACAATGCCAAAGATCGAATTTTTTTCATCTTCCTCTGGGCCATGCTGGCAAACACAGGCCTCATCATTGGACCAATCATGGGAACTTACATCGTGAGCACTCTTGGGTGGTAAGTACATGCGTATCCACACAGTGATTCCTCAAGGCCCTGAAGCTCACGTATTCTTCACACAGGAGGTGGATATTCTACATTGGAGCAATCGTACTTGGCATCACTACGGGCTTCCTCTTCAATCTTCAAGAGTCTAGACACACCGTTCTTCTCGAAAACGAAGTCACCAAGCTTCGTAAGGTAACAGGAATGCAGGAGCTCCGTGCCCTCAACCCAGACCACGTTCCCGACCTCCGAACATTCCTCCAGTCGGCTGTTTTTCGACCGGCTCGTTTCCTCTTCACCGAGCCTATCGTATTTCTCGTATCGATTATAGCGAGTATTGCTTTTGCGATGGTGTATCTTTTCACCGAAGCACTGCCTACTGTGTATGGTGATATGGGTTTTACAACCCAAACATCCTCCCTGCCCTTTTTAGCCCTCGGGTTTGGATTTCTACTCAGCTCTCTCACACGAGTCCTCGATCATGCTATTTTGGACAAGCTGTATCGGGAAGGCAAGCCAATCACCCCAGAATCAAAGTTGATAGGCTTCTGCATTGGGGCGCCCGTGCTCGCCCTTGGCTTGTGGTGGTTCGCTTGGACAATCCCGCCCCTCGTGCCGAATGTGCACTGGATCATCTCGGCCACTGCTCTCGTGCCGATTGGGTACTCTCTCAATGAGATTGATACCGTGCTCGCTGGTTACTTGGCAGACAGCTATCTGAGCTACGCTTCCAGCGGATTCGCTGCCATGTCATTCCTCCGCGCGATTCTATCGGCTGTTTTCCCCCTGTTCACACAGAAAATGTACGCTGGTTTGAACGCCAACGTTGCAACATCTGTTTTAGCAGTCGTCTCAACAGTTTTTTGTATAATACCCCCGCTTTTCATACGCATGGGGGCCAGGATTCGGAAAAGAAGCAAGTTCGCCGAGCGAAGCTTGCAGATATACATGGAATCTACGGTAGATCTTGACGGCTACTAGATTGGAGGATTGGCATCTGCTTAGAGAGTGTTAATATTGCCATATACTCCACGATTAACCGGTTCAATGGCAGGGGGTTCACGCGAGAGAACGGGTTTTTATTTCCATCAGCATTGGCATAGCGGGTGAGAGGGCAAATATAGGTCGTGATAAAAGGAGATTTTTGGTAAATACTTACAGCGAGATTGTTGAAATTTTGTCCTTTGATGCTGGATTTTATCATCCATGCAATAGCAGAGAATTTTCTTGTGATTGAAAAGTTGAAGCAGTAAAATCTTAGTGCTACCTAGTTATACTAGAAAATGTCTCCTCTTGAGCATCTAATTGTATCTTCCTTCGATGGGAGGCGGAACAATAACAACAATAAAAGATACGGTATGCCCTTAACACCATCCTACGCATCACAAAAGACACATTGATAATTTAAATAAAACAATACATCTCTTTCATCCAACTCCTGGATGAACAAGTTAACCAGCATGGACTGGCCATGGTGTGTATTCGCTATAGGGTAGGTGAATGATGGAGCTCATCCACTGTTTTGTTGTGCTGCGCTTACGCGACTTGTCTTAGCTTTAGGTTCTACGGGTACCAGGATCTGTTTCTTTGGTGTCATCTGGGCATAGCTCCATGATTAGCTCACGACTTGGGGTGAATTCTGTTGGAAGAGCTAGCCTTCTGTACGTAAGGGTGAATGGAGAGACGAAACTCGAACCTAGCCCAATACAGGCACGTCTGCAGGATAATTGTTGGATGAAGAGGCAGTCCTTCAAGGAGTATTCGATTGGCTGGGAGCCCAGACTGCGGCTAAACATGTGGGCTCGTAATTCGGGAGAAACCCACCAGGCCACCACACAGGCACCAACGAAACAATTCCAGAGTGATCTCACGCATTGTGATGTCAGGGTGCTCACAGGTGTCAGATATGACCGGAGTCTGCACTTGCTCAATCCGATCTATTATCTAGCACATCTTACCGTGGCTCGTGACGAGCAGAGCTTATGGGCGCTTTTCGTTAGCTGGGCTTGGTCCCTATTTCACCCGCCAAATGAATGGCACGGGCCCAATGTGGCTGCTGGCTGAGCTTTAGTTTGCGGCTGTGAATGGCTGGAGTTATGCTTTAGATGTGGGATAATGCCGCCCTGATGCATCATTTGACTCAGAGCTGAACCGTACAAAAGCCACGGACTCGCGCTCCCATCAATCGTCATCATTATCATCTGACATTGAACCTTCTCGTCGGCGTCTCCTCTAAATGATGAACTTCCATCTCAGCTATCAATGGCTCTTTTACACCAAACCGCCTCCAGGCCCGTCATCTCCCGTCCCTGACGGCCTGGAGCGCCATTGGATTGACACGGCACACGGTAAGCTGGAAGTCCTCTCAGCGACACCGCCCAAAACCGTCACAGCCTCCGATGGGCCTCCCATCTACTTCTGCCACGGCGGCATGGGCAGCGCCTGGGTCTGGACCGAGTATATGCAGTATCTAGCTGCCCGCGGCGTGCGGAGCTATGCCATTTCCCTTCGCGGTCACGGCGACTCTTGGTACCCTTCATATTTCCGTATGCTCTTTGGCACCACTCGCCGTATGCTTAGTGATGACCTCGTTGCTGGTCTCAGATGGGTCGAGCAGCGCGAGAAGCGGCGTGTTGTGCTTGTCGGCCACTCGAGCGGTGGTGGCCTAAGCCAGGGAGTTCTGTCTGAAGGGAGAGTAGACGCCGAAGGTCTCGCCCTTCTTGGCGCCGTCCCAGGCTATGGATCGTGAGTTCTCCCTCGCGTCGGGATACAAGACTGATTGTGTTACGATGCTGATATTGGAAATCTTTTTAGTATGGGTGTGTATATCAATTGGATGAAGCTGGATCTTTGGTTCGGTCTGCGCCTCATCCTTCACGGCTATCATTCCAACTCGCCTCTCTCACATCCTATTCTGACGCAACGAGTCTTCTTTGGAGACAAGTTTCCCTTGTCTGCTGTCATCCCATTCCAGCGCCGCATGAATCGTTATGAGAGCTACTTGTGGCCATTCAGTATGATGAAGCCGTTTGCCCCTGCCAGTTCAGTTTTGCAACACGTCCACCATGGCAGGATATTGGTAATGGCCGGCTCACAAGACAAAATCATGACACCTCAAATCACGACGGAAACTGCAGCGTATTATCGAGAGGCTTCAGCAGACGCTAATGGTGCGGATTCTGTACGGATGGAACTTGTGGAAGGGGCTGGACATCATTTACAGAACGATATCCAGTGGGAGGATGGGGCGGCTAAGCTCTGGGACTTCTACAAGTCTATTTCATGACAACGGGGAGGGACCCTGAAATGATAAATTGTATTTTTAAAATTCTCAACCTAGGCATTGTTCGTGTATCATCTTGAGGCTTGGGCTTACATAGTTTCGTCTGTATGAAACTCACGTACATGGGAGAAAGCAATCTGTCTTACGAAATATTTCGTTTCCATCACTGAATGTACCGGTGTCTTGAGTCTAGTTTAATGTTTTGATACTTATTCACGAACATATGAAACCGGAAGTTATGTATGCCCATTTGCATAATATAGGTCAGCGGAGTTGAATGATCAATTAGATCACATAGAGGACCGTCAATACAACCATTCTAGTTGAAAGATATCAGTACCTCTTGAACTTGATTTATTTAAGAACAAGGTACATACAGACATCAATGATAATAAGTTAAAACTCTTTCTATGCCGAGGACTGCTCATATGATTTCATATGAGCATCTACTGGGAACCCAGTCTTCTTTAGAGACGACTGGTATACCGCGTGTGAGTCGAACATGCCCGTCTCTTGGAAATACGTTTCATAGTGGGCAATCATCTCCTCCAGTTTCTCAGGCTGAGACTCACCGAGATCGTGGACCTCACCAAGGTCCTTTGATAAGTCGTACAACTCCCACTTACCGCTTCCACGTGGGGGAGGCATGAAGACAGCCTTCCAGTCTCCCAGTCGCACCGCTGCAACCCCAATTTGCTCCCAGCCCACGATATCATTCTCAGAGCTGTAGATCTGGAGCTTCTCATCATCCGGGTTCTTGAGAAACGGGACCCAAGACCTACCGCGGACGGGCGCTACCTGCCTCCCACGGAACGTTGGTGTTGGGTGCTGGATGCCAGCGAGCTCGAGGAAGGTGGGGAGTACGTCCATGACGGTGGTGAAGTTTGGAGCGATCACACCCTTCTTCTGTAAGAGAGGGGGATATCTCACGATACAGGGACAGTGAATTCCGCCTTCCGTTGTGAATGTCTTGAGTCCTCGGCTCGGTGCAGTTGCTGCACCCGCCCACTGGGGACCGTACCAAACGAAGCTATTGTGGTTGCCCAGGTTCTCTAGCGAGTTATCATACCACCTGGTGATTACGTCTTTGAGTGTGTGTCCAGCAAGGATAGGCACGGCTTCCAATAGTTGGCCCTCGGCGCCATTGTCGGACATAATGACAATGAACGTATTATCGATCTCACCGGTCTCACGTAGATACTCAACCACTCTGCCCACATTGACGTCAATGAGATCAACCATGGCAGCGAAAACCTGGATAATGTCAGCAAATCCGAAGTATTGGCCTATTTAGGAGAAGACGAAATATTCAAACGCACCTCCATAGCGCGAGAGGACTTTTTGCGCTCTTCCTCGTTCATCTCGCTCCATGGCTTCGTGCCTGCGGTGTGTAAAGGCGCGGGCTCGACATCAGCTGGCACCAACCCCTTCTCAATCATGCTTCGAAGCCTCCTCTCCCGAAGTGCTTCTGGTCCATCATTGTAAAATCCCTTGTACTTTTCGACCGTTTCGTGAGGCGCTTGTAGTGGCCAATGAGGGGCAGTAAAGGCAAGGTACCCAAAAAATGGCTTCTCTTTTTCCTCCTCGTTTCTCCCACGCATAAAGTCGAGAAAATAGTCGGTAAAGGTGTTGGACGAGTAGAAATCTTTGGGCAAATCGTCGCGCCCACTGATGAACTTGTCATCACGCATCCAAAAACCCTCATTACCCTTGAGCAGCGCCTTGGGCTTCTCGTCTTCGTGACCATATAGTTGGGGCTCGTTGTTGAAGTGGTTTCCGGCTCCTGGGAGTGTCGTGAGAACTTTTGTGAAACCTCGAGCGGAGGGTGACAACTCCTTCTTGAGACCTAGATGCCTAGTGATTTATTATGAAGCACAAGTCAGCGTTTGACCACCTTTTTAAATAACTATTTCTAGACGGGGAATTGCATACCATTTTCCGGACATCATTGTCCAGTACCCATTATCTTGGAGGATCTCCGGAAGGGCGGCCACCCTATGATTCAAATAGCCTTCGTATCCGGGATGGTCTTGGAACAGCTCTGGAACCTTTCTTATCCATTCGGCCATAGCACCCAATCCTGCGATATGGGCATCTGTCCCGGACAGGAGCATGGCGCGGGTCGGTGAGCACGATGCAGCCGTGTGGAAGCCCGTCATACGCAGGCCTTCCTCGGCAAGCTTGGCGATATTAGGAGTCTCGATCTCTCCTCCATAAGGTTGGAGGTCGCTGAAGCCGAGGTCATCGGCGACGATGACGAGGAAATTGGGTCTACCGTCTTTTGGCATGGTAAAGAGAGAAGAAATTGTGATGTTACTGCTATCTTCACTTACGAAGCTCGTACTAGTTTCTTTGAGTTTAACTAGGGTAGTCGAGAAGTAATTCCGTAACAAGCTGCAATTACTAGATGCACTGGAAAGACGATGGATCGAATTTATGATAATACAATAAACCTTGATGTTCAGAATGACGATAAATATAGCTTCTTCGATATGCTGTTAAGCAAAAAGTGACCGGCGCGGAGGATTCCGACACAGCTCGGAACACTCCCCGAGTGTAGCTTCACCCCCGCAATCCCCGCCTCCGCATCTTGGCACATGGCCGTCGTTGCCGAGTTCAGTTTAGTTTGTTTAGTTTGCCAAAGCTAAGTTCCTCTTCTTTGGACAGAATACTTGGTGGGCTTTTTGGCCAACCTCCCACACAACTCTTCTTTATTACATCAACACATGAATTAATAGAGCAAGTATTTGCCCGTATTAAGATTAAGGAGAGGCCTGTTAAATTGTAAAACCTAGTTATCCAGAAGAGCTACCTCTCACCGGTAATCTTGAGAAGGAAACAGACATACACTCGAGTTCGCTTAAGTTTAGAGCATATATTCCGCTTTTTGTGATGCCTTATCTTACGGAGTTGAACATTATGCTCGATAACTGTGTTTCACATTCTAATAAATTTCTAGTCGGGGATTGACAACTTGGAAATCACTTGGCTGATGGGAGGTGCATGTTGACACCTTCACGACCGAGTCGTCAGGTTTTATTAGTCATAAAATACGATTAAACACTTGGGCTATGGGGTTGAGACTGAGCGAATACACTTGAAAAGGTAAGGCGACTTGAATCCAGTAGTCTGCTACCTGATCAAAGATATGTCAGAAACACATCTGCTGTTCGAAAGACACAGATACCTTTCCAGTCGTTATCCATCAGCTGCTCCATATCCCCAGTTGAACGTCAGAAACAAGTCGTATCGCAGACCAAGGCGACTGTGGCTCTATGCTCACCCTCAAACGCCTCAATGTGCGAGGATATTATTCTGAACGTGATAAAAGTAGATAAGGCTATGGATGAACGCCTTCAGGCCTTGGGACTTCCGGACTCTTCACCTGCGATCAATATCCCCCGGGTCTCAGGCTACATACACAACCATTCATCCGTCTGTGATCCGCAAGCCCAGTCCAACCCATGGCTCTAAATCCTATTTTGACTCGACATGCTCAATGCCTCGAACCTTGGCCGACTCTATGGAGGTCTTCCGATGCGCCTCAATTTCCGTGACAGATGCAGCTGCGCCAGTAGCCTTGAAACCTACTCACCCATCCCGATTAGTATGCCGGTCAAGCTAGTAGAGGTTGGAAATTTATCTTACCTCTGCTTCTCCACGCTGGGATCCGGGACTCGAACATTTCATCAATTTCCTCGAGTGACCTGTACAGAAACAGTCAGCGATATAGAGCCTTTTCAAGTATTTCTCGTATGCATGGATAAAGCACATACTTTCCAGTCATCTCCGGCACGAAGAAGAAAAGCAGGACGACAAACAGCGTGGTGGTGCAACCATAGACGAAGCCAACCTTTGAGCCGAGGTTGGCATAAGGAGACTTTAGTAGATACGGGAGGGTAAAAGTGGCCAAGAAGTTGGCAACGTTGGAAAACGACCAAAAGAGGAGATTTGACTTGTCTCGGAGTGCTGTATGCGGGATCTCGGACTTGACGACAGTCATGCTATACGTTGAAGAACGCCACGATCAGTCTCAAGTTTATATGCGAGAATCTTGGTAGATGTTGCAACTTACGTCGAGCCAAATGCAATCATGTAGGCGCAAGGGAAGATGATCGACATTGCCAACACGCCTTTCTGCGCGCTTGGGTTGGGAGGGGTGACTGTGCCCAAGCCGCCCATGACCATGAGGCAGACAGCAGAAATAGAGCCCACGACAAGCGCAACTCGACGGCGACCAATCTTCTCGACAAACGCAATCACAAAGATGCATCCGATAAGAAGACCGGCTCTCTTGATCATGGTGCCCGTGAAGGGATCAATGACACCAACCGATTTGAGGAAGATGGTACCGTAGTTGGATGCAAACGACTGGCCGGTGAGCTGCACTGCGCCAGCCGCGATGAGGCCACCCCAAGTACGGCGCTGAATCACAATCTTGTTAATCTTTTTTTATCTGTTTCCTGTATGGGGAGAATATAACATACCGCGTTAGTTCCCTTGAAAAGCTCAGACCACTTGCCCTTGGTTGGGGTTTCGTTGATGGTGTCCTGGATGCGCTGAATCTCGGCTTCGGCTGGAAAGTCACGGTCTGCGCTGCGCAGATAATAGATCATCTCGACAGCCTTGTCCTGTTTGCCCTGACGCAAGAGCCATCGGGGTGACTCTGGGAGGAGGAATGAAGTGAGTATGGCGAAGGATGGAAAGATGAACATGCAGCCAACAGGAATCCTCCAGCTATTGTTGTCGTCCATCTTGCTCGTCTGATCGGTGATGACGGAGGCTATGAAGCCTGCGAGGACATGGCTAAAGGCGTAGAGACCGACCACTGGAATGATCAATTGCTGTCAGCTGGGAGATCCTGGAAAGGGGATATGTCGGTCAACTTACTAGAGCCACGCACAGCGGCAGGGACAACCTCAGCCATCCACATGGGCACCAGCCACGCCTCTCCACCAACGTGAAGCTGGATGATCATTCTGCCGGCCATGGCGTAGTCGAAACTTTTGCCCGCATAGCTGAGTGCGATACCCGCAAGACAGAAGGAGTTGATGATGACGAAGACGATTCGGCGGCCGTAGCGCTCACCGATGAAGGAAGCACCAACGACGCCGATGGCGTATGTGATCAAGGGCAGAGAATTCAACATGGCGAGCCGAGTCGCGCTGAACTCCCATTCGCCTGTCTTGGGGTTTTTCTCTCCGAATTGGCGTTCGTATGCTGGTCGGTGATTTGGTGTTAGAGTCGTCCCCGAAGCAGAATCCGAACTACTCACCAGCCATGGCCTGGATAGTGGACAAAACCGAATTCTCAAAGCCATAGGAGAAGACACTAGACATCATCACCATGGAAGCCAACATGAGGTTTGTGGTCAGATGCTGGGTGACCTTGTAATTATGGTCCCGCAAGAAGGTCCACATGTTTGCGGTAAGGGGGCTATGCTTGCAAGGCAAAGCTCGATAAAGTCAAAACAAACTGCTGTTCTGTTACTGTTGTGTGGTTGAAGGTAGGAAGTGTGACCCGTGGGAGTGAGATGGGTATAATCAACCCCATGAAGGATCGCCAACTCCTTATGTAGGTGTGATCAACAAGGAGGAAGACTCTTCAAGGAGAAATCTGGGGAACATGGGGTCTGGGGTCGACTGACTGAGTTGGCCGGGGTGAGATGGACACCACGCGCTGCTTAATTTTGCATATCTTGGTTTAGTGGATCATTCCATCACTGATCCGTCGCACTTTGGATCAAAGCAGCGATGAGACTCGGCTGCTAGCGCGACTAGGTGCCTCCATCAAGCTCATTGAGTCATTGTGTAGGTTCTCACTGGACTCTCTGATAGCCAAGTGGCGCTTCCATACTGCCATTGATACGGGCTAGCAAAGACACTACTAGACAGGTCCCAATGTTTTGGACTAAGCGGCCTACAAAATGTTGCAGACAAGTCGTTGAGCCCGGGGAATGCTCCGAATGCTCTCGCGGACTGGTTCCGGGCAGTAGCACATCCCTGCAGGCTTATCCTCACTGTCCACCACGCAAGCCATGCATTTCATAATTCCAACTGGGTAAAACCCGAAATCTCGCTTGATTAGCCGGACCTCTCTGATTTATCCGGCTGGCTGTCTCTCATTGGAAAAATAGGCCTGGATGAGCCACTTCAAACTCTACAGTTCGTATCAGTCGTTAGCTACACCGACAAGGTCCAGTTTCTACCAAAATATTATTTTGGTTGACAGATTTCATCTGTGATTTCCTTCTATAATATCCTGATTGGAGAAAGGCAAATTGCGTTGTCTAAGCCGAGACTAGAGGTTACTGGCCTATTGCGTTCGGTGGAACATTGCAGAGTGAGAGGACAAAATGCCTCGAACAATCCGAAGGCATATACTAGACTACCAGGATTAGAAATAGGTTCAATAATAGACTTCTTTCTGCCGTTGTGGCGAACAAGTATCAGTCTCATGACGTTGGCTTTTCTAGTTTGGATCATCCCCCGAACTCTTTGAGAGTCACGTCTCCTTTCCGCTCTCCCCATCAGCTCCTCATCATACTCTGCCACAGATCAAGCGAGTTTGGTAGTTTATTGGTCAGAAAACGGAAACGAGAGGCAATCACACACGAACTAGCTCTTTGTAGCGAATAACAAGCTGTTGCTGGAGAATATTTGGACGAGAAGCAGAAGTTTCACGGCAGCGATTATCAGAGTTCAGTTATTCAGGCTGGGGCGTTACATGTAGATACAGGCTCGGTGATTAATACGCCTCATAACCTGGACGAGACAGAGCTTGAAGCCCTTAGATGGACTCCACATAGTCATTTGGAGCGAAAACACCGCTTCTCTCCTCTGGTAGGCTATTGAGCCAGTCCTGACTCCCTGCCGGCCATGCCATAGCATCGGCGAGGTCAGGGTCTTGTAGCAACGCCTGGAATTCATCCATTGTGGACGGCTGGTCCACATTATCCTCGTTTGACCCCCTTTGGGTGTGTTCGTTGTTTTCGGCCGGAATAGGGTCTTCATCTCAACAAGTTAGCGGGGTCTCTGATGAATTTCATGCAGACAGATAGCCTTTACCTTGATCGTAGACCAGCCGGGAACGGGGACTCAAAGCTGCTTGTAGAATCTTATGGCATCGCTTGGCAAACATGTCGCCCGCTTGCCCATAGTACGTCAAAGCTTCCATACAGCAGGACCATGTGTTCAGAAGTCCTTCTAGATTTTCCGTATAGGCGCGCTGAAGATTCGGCGAGACTAAGACCGAAAGCAGAACGGTCCCGGCACTGAAGAGATCTGGAGGCTTGATGTTAGTGGCATATAGGAGCGCCTATTCGGAATAGATACTTACAAAACACGGCAAACCAACGCGGAGGGGCGCAGTCGCTGTGGAGCTGAATGTGAAGCAAATCAACGAGCTCCTGAGCAGCCGAGATACATGAGCGAACACATCCTGTAATCACCATGTATTGGAAGTCGGTCGACCTTTGCGGTTCCTTGGACGCCAAAAGAACGCCACTAGAGAGGTCTATGGTGATGGGCCTAAATAGGAGTATTCTTAAGTGCAGATACCTAAAGACTCAAAGGTCAGCTCGTGGCATCATTCATCAAGTCGGCGCTCTCCTTTTCCATTAACCTACCGGAAGTGGAGCAAGGCCGCCTGTCGTGTATATATAGGATTGGTTTCGCCTGATAACTCAGATGGCTGATATATTAAGTGCTGAGGCAATTGCTGTCGCCACCGTGCTAACTCGTTGTCTACTTCAACGACAACAGTCAATTTAGAGATTGGGTCATTACTCAGCGTACTGATTCTCCTCTCCTCAATAGGCCGGTAGAAATTTCTTGCTTGGGGTCAGCCAGTGAGACTCAGAGAGGTTGATAACGGGGTCACTAACGTAAGCACCAACATCAGAACATCGGTAAGCTTAAGGGTCTGGGAAAAGAAGGCATTCGTCGAGAGTTCCTGCAGTTCCATAGGCTCACTGGAACTCCCGGGCTTTTCAGACAGGTATTCGTCGTCTATAGGCTCCGGTTTTGGGACCAATGTTCGCCAAACAACCATGACCGGCCGACCAAAAGTCATGCTCAACACCCTCCAGCGACTTGTTAGCTATATCAAGGCTGTCGAGTCAGTGATGGTGCGGCTTACCTATCCATGAGTATACAGCACCACCACGTCCGCCTCCTCTCTTCACGCTCGGCCTGACTCTCGGAGGGGCGATCCAGCTGCACTCCAATTCCCTGGGCTATTCGGATGGCATTACCGATGGTTATCCAGCATCTGTTAGCCATATCGGTGCTCTGCAGGTATTGTGCGGTGAGAACCAGGGCCTGGACCAGCTGGATTGACCCTTGTTCCATATCCGCGTCTTGTAGTAGCAGGCTGGATCTATCATAGTACGTTTTGGCGCTTTTCAAAGAGGCGGCGTCGGAACGGGCGCGGATGGATCCAAGGGCAAGTGCAATGTTGAGAGTTGCATGGAACGCCCTCAGCCTTTGCACGTTTCCGTCGAAGTAGTGCAACTCGTCATGACTGCTGTCAGCCTGTGACCATATTTCATGATACCTAGGTTCGCACAGGGATCGTCAGCTCAACAGCGTTCCAGCTCAACGTTGACGAGCACAGCCCAAGCGGAGATTCAAAGACTGAATGACTGACCTGCGCATGAATGATGGTTTGTGTAGTATGGGATAGAAAGGATGTATCTTATCCCAGTACACTTCGAGGAGTGCGTCAGCCAATCTTCGTGTCGGCAGAGTCAATCCATCAAGCAGATTTGCCATGTCCTTTTTCAACTTCATTTGCCGCCTGTGGGACGCGCGCGAAGCGGTTGAACTCATGCCGTCTTCAGCGCCATGGAGGCCATGGCCTCCCGTACCCAGAGACTCTTGAACTGATTTCATGTAGGCTGCCGCGCTTGATGGGCCAAAGAAGAGGCTGTTGTTCGAGTTTATTGGTGTTCCTTCGGAAGCGCCCATCGCGTCACTCGGCTGCTCATCTTCATCGACCTCGATGTTTTCAGGGTCTCCTTGGATAGGCGGTACATAAGAGCCGGCCCTATGCTGAGACAAGAAGTGGCTGGTGTTATTGGATCTCGTTGGCGTCTCGGTGACCCGATGATGCTGCCGATGAGGAGGTTGAGGATGACTTCGCGGGGGTTGTGATTGTGGATCACCCGCCGGAAACATTCCTGTGGCATCAGAGGCGTCATCTCGGGAACGAAGGTGTTGGAAATTGTCCGGAACGCGCGAAGCCTGCTCGCGATAGCCATTGAGACCCAGAAGGTGAGCCGCAACGATATGAGCATCGTTTGTATTAGGGGTCGACTCGATCGTATGCGCAGATGGGGATACCGGCTTCGAATATCTCGGCATGTTTCTATCTTCGTTATGAGGCAAAGCTATCTCGCGACTCGATCGATTCGGTTCGGGCTGTGAAGTTCCATGATCTGGCGAGAGGGTGTTGCTCAGCCGGCTCGTCGGACCAGCTGTGTCTGCTGCTGTGACCGCGAACCCACCCCGCGCGACCTGTTCCAGCTCTCTGATGCGAGTTTCCAAGCCCTGGACGTATCGCGTGTCCGAGAGCTCAGACGAGGGGTCGAGGTAGACGCAATTCTCGGGGCCTAGCTTCTTGCGCACACAGGCCTGGCATACGGGCCGCGCCCCGTCGCAGCGCGTCTTTTTGTCGCGACATTGTTGGCATGCGATCCGGATCTTGCGACGCTTGGGAGGGCGTGTACTGTCATCGGCGTCATCCATCTGAACGCAGTCTGCGGACCGGGAGAGCTGGGCAAGGAGAGCCTCGGATGTAGATTTCTGGGGAATCTCCCGAACGAACAATCTGGGGAGGGTTCCGGATACAGAGACAGGGATCAGGCGGTTGCGGGGTAAAGTCAAGTACGTACCACTGGCTCTGATCATTCTTTGTCTGTGGTCTTTAGGCTAAATCGGCTATCCCGCGCTGCAGGTTTACCTTCTCATTCCTCCAGCTGGTCTCGTATGTAGGATGCGAGCTTCACCGGGAATAGTATCCTTCTAGATGTCAAACTCGTCTGATGAAGATGATGCGTCCGAATTGGTTATTCAGGCGAGAGATTATTCCGCCATACGCCACCTTATTCCCCCACAGATACTCTCGTCACATCACATGCGGAGTACCAACTCCCACATAGCACAGCCAGATTCGGATACACTGCACAAGCTTCAAGCACACGTAACCGACATTTTGGAGTACGAACTATGACTGATCATTGGTTTCGTAATACTAACAAGAGTTATGGAGAATCTAACATGCTCCTCCCTCTTCACCATGCTGCTTCCATTGAGGCAGGCTTCGGTTTTTCTAGGGCCCCAGAACAAGGTGTTTGATGTGCCGGGAGTTATTTCTGCCATCTAAGACGTCAAGGACATGGAAGCCGCCTTTTGTGTGCATGCACCCATCATTACCAACTAAAATTACCTACCCTAGACACACTGTCACCTCTTTTCCCAAATTCGCAATTTGACATGCCTTATTAAGGCGAGGAAAGGCGGCCCATATTCCAGAGGCGCAGTAGGTCATGGTTCGCCTTCCTAGAAACGAGAACGGTCGCCTTAGCTGATGAGACAACCACTGGGGATGCTTACTTGCATATCGGTCACCTGATTTCTACGCTCTGCCCTTCCGCTATTTTGACATCCTTGTTCACAAGATCATCATTTTTCTCAACCAGGACATCACTAACTCCAAGCCGCCGCGTAGCAAGTCTAACGGATGATTGCCGCGATGGACAAAAGCAATGATCTCCCTTCAGAAACAGCTCCCGATACTTCGTCCAAACCATTGTCCAGGGGCAATGCCGAGCATGGCGTCACAGAGACAAATGCTGAAAAAGCTGACCCTGCACTTGAGGATTTCGGGCCCATTTCTCTTGACACGCTTCAAATAGAAGACTCTCATTATGAAGATGGAATACGCGTCCTTCTGCGAAATGCTAAGAATATTCAGCGCCCACATCTGGCCACCTCGAAACGAAATTTGCATTTCCTTACTCTATACGCTCAAGTTCCTTTGGAGCAGAAACAACCTAAGGATGAAGTGGTTGCCATAAGCCAAGGGCCAGGCGACATTAAGTTCTCGATGCGATTCCACGCAGAGACTGAAAATGACTATTCACAACCTGCCTTATGGTGGGAGATGTACTTCAATCCCGCTAATGACAACATCATCTTGGTGAATCGATCAGACGTTCCGCTGAGTTGCCATAGGCTGGTTTCTGGCACTACGTCGGTCATCAACCCCATGATGCCAGGCAGCTTGAGCCCTGCCACCTGGCGCGTGAATGTGGGGGATATTGCCATTGCAGAGTTTAGGATTATACCAAAACGACAATCAGTAAAAGCCATGGCGCTAGATCCAAGGTCGGGCATCCCCGATGAGCCGGAGCCCGCAACGATCGGTTTCAGCGAAACCAACCCATTGCTCAGTATCAACGAGACTGAGACCGTGGCGGTTTCGGGACCAGCTACTGATCAATACCGGATTCACAAGCACTGCGGTATTTCGAGATCTGCCCTGTCCACCATTTATCTTGCGGAAGATTCAAGGCGTCCGGGTCTCATCGCTGTGAAAGTTCTTCACCCACGAAGGGCGGATCCTGTCGTGTCCAATAGAGACATCGTCCGCATGGCTGGAAGGTGGGAAAAGCAATTGAAAAACTATGAAGGCCTGAAGCACAAGTCCATTGCTCAACATTATGGCCATGACGGCCGGTTTCTGTCCATATACATGGAGTACGTGGATGCTGAAGACTTGGCAAGTCGCCAGTGGCGCGCCGTTGCCAGTGGACACGAGTTCACAGGAGAGAAAACTGACGCATCGAGGATTGCCAAGGATATATCCAGCGCGCTAAGTTACATTCATGAGCATGGTGTGCTTCATAATGATATTAAGCCTGCAAACATCCTATACTCACACTCACGGGGGGGAGTGCTCGTCGATTTTGGTTGTTCAACCACAACAAAGAACTCGTCGTTCACTGGCGGCACGCCATACTACATCCCTCCGGAATTCATTGGAAAGAAGATTCGCGGCCCGCCTGCTGATGTTTGGGCGCTGGGCATCACCATGCTCTACCTGCTCCGCAAAACTGGTCTTCCTGATGCGCGCGCGAAACGTGGCCGCGCTCAATCACTATATTGGCTGATCGCGAGTGTGAACAACGGGCGCATCCCCCACACGGCATATGGTAACGGGGAATCGGCCATCAGTCAAATGAATCAATGGTTGTCAGAGATCGATGATCTCAAGGCTAGGCTCAATGCTAATGACTCGCTTGAGCAACTGATCTTAAAGATGCTGGACGCGGATCCTGATAAGCGTATTAGTGCCAAGAGTCTGGCACAAGAGGCAGAGAATCTTGATGAACGTTCTGACCTGAATCAAGGAGATGAATTCCCCTCCATTCACCCCGAAGATCAAAACCCTCCCTGCAATACGCTCTATCTCGCGAACCTGTCATTCGATACCAATGAGGAACAACTTAAGGCAGTGTTTTCCAAACAAAGAGGATACAAGCGACTTTGCTTTCGTACGAAACAAGATATAATAATGTGTTTTGTTGAATTTGAAGACGTCTCGCTTGCTACAAAGGCACTTCATGAACTTTATGGCCAATCTCTTATACTTAATACTCTTAAGCTTAAGAGTATTAACGGGGGCATAAAGATTAGTTTCGCAAAGAACCCTCTCGGCGTTAGATCTAGCAACAATGATGCTCTTTCGGGTGATGACCGAGATCTCAGCCTCGCAGAGCCCCCTAAGGGTACCAACTCGCCCTCGCTAACTGCAATTCTATCGCCACCTGCAAATGTGCCAGATATTCTGCAGGTGCCAAGTTTGGCCGAGGCACCACCTCCTACAGACTCGGGATACGCATCTACGAATGCAGTTGGCAGAGGATTCGAATCACTGAAAAAACAAGATATCCAGGCTCCTGCACCATCGTGGGAGGAACTGGCAAGCAATGACGCCAACGACACAGCTACCCAGTATTCTAATTTTTCCAGTTTCTCGTTTTCGAGGAGCCATAATTTAATATGGGAGCTCGCAAGTGATTTATTTAACAAACTCAACTTATCCATCACAAATGAAGCCATGAAGGAAAGAGTCTCGGCAATTTTGCCCGAGCTGCTAAAAGCTTTCGCATTGAAGATTGGCTGCGGAGCATCATCTCAAATGCATCGAGACATTATGTCTTTTGTCCATAGAAACAGACGGTCAGTCTCCTTATTTTTCTTGGCCCCTTGGTATCTATGGACGATAAGCTGCGTAATTTGCGAACTAACGAGAGTCTATTGTTAGCGATATTGCTTCAGTCTTTATTGATATTGCCTTCGCAGAAGATCCAGAAATTACTGATGAGAATATGGATTCATCAGATGCAATGGATCTGGAAGACCGTATGCGCCTATGGTACGAGATGAGAAATGAAGACGAAACCCCACTAGAGAATGAGATGGGGGACTTGGATGTTGATGAAATGACCGAGGATTTCGCATTTGATGAGATTGACGAGGAGGAAGAAGGGCCATTCGAGTGGGTTGCAGCTTACCAAGAGCTACTCTCCGGCAGCGAGGCGTACACATGGCTACTCAATCGACTTCTCGGAGAATTCCATCTCGTTCAAACAGAGCCGAATAGCATTCATACTATTCGTGAGAAAATTGTGAGCTTGTTTCCACGGACCCAAAGGGTTAGCAGAAAGGAGACCCCAAGGAGCTCCACGGTTGTATTTGACCTTGATTGGGATATTCATGAATTCTTCGAGAATCAAGCGTATCCCAACCGACCCGAAGAGGCGCTCACGACTGTGATTACTCTCACTGGATCTTTCCTAGATGCGCAAGCGGCAACTTGTGCGCAGTATATCCACCAGACTTGGCCTTCAACTGGACAGAATATAGTTGAACTCATCAAAGGGGCCCTCGGCAGTGAAGATGGGGCATATCGAAGTAAGTATTGGACGACGCAAGGACTGTCTATCATACTAACATTCATTATAGTTGATTCATCTGGCGGAGCAACCTTGCGAGCCGTGATTGCCAGACCCAGACTGATGGTGGAAATTTGCGGCGATATAGCTTCTGTGATCGAAGTCGGAGAACAGTTAGGTTGGCTCGGAGCGGCGTTGAGGACGTCACAGAGACAAGAGGGTATTGTTTACTGTACGCCTCAAATTTGTGATCTGCCCCAGGACAGCGCACCTCTCCGTCAGTTCAAATCACGGCCACCATCTGCAGACCTCCTCTTCTGTCAGATTGGCTTCACCCAAGAGGATATTCCAGGGTCTCCTGAGCCTGTGAATGGGCGGTGCTGGCATGATGCTTTTAGAAATCCTGTCATTGTGCGGGGGTATCCCATTCGGCAAAGAGTCGAATACGGCACAGGTCTAGAAATGCCACTGAATATTATGGCAGGTCTAGTTCAAACTCAGCAAATTGATCGGTTTAAAGACAGGATCTATATCAAGGGCTTTTCAACTATGCTCCTTTTAACCAGGCGGAGTGAGGGTAGCCTCTACTGGCACTTGATCTATAACAAGGACGGAACTCGCATATCCTACCTGGATGCGCATGAATATAAAGTCAACCAAGCCCGGGATATCGCGCAGTCAGAGTTAGAAAGCCTTCGCCATGTGTTGGGATGGTGCTCTGAAGCGAAGTTTTATGCTGGTAACTACTTCTTGCTGTTTTTCTGTCTCTAATAGCTCGCTGATCATTTATTTGCAGGATCGTCTGAAGCACACCATCCAGTTGCTCACTCTGGGCTCCCCAGAGTCCATCCTGGATGTGTGCTAGCAGGCACAAAGGTCTCATCTGGGCGGATGATCAAGGATGGCCCTGAATTCTCCATTGGATCGAAGGATAGGCCGGTACAAATATCCCAAAAAGGCACGATCCGGCGGTTGAAATGGATATCCACCAAGTTTGTTCTTCTATGGGATACACATGATGAAAGAGGTTGGCTGGTCAATGGCACAAGTGCTCTCCTACATGTGATGAGAGCATCTTTATCTCACGCAAGCAAAGATCCCTTCCGGTCGGCTTTCCTTTTCAAAAATACGGATATGGAAGAAGCAGAAACACCGTTTACCGCCAACTCTGCCGTGGAGGTATTGATTAATAAACACAACCGAAATCTCAGGCTCTATGAGGATGATGACGAGGATGGAGGTTATATTCTCCTCAAAACTCAAATTGACCACTTTTATAGCCTCCTGGAGAAGCTCATAGATCACCAGGCCGACGTATCATCAGGCAATAATCTCCAACTGACTGATAGGCCCCGGAGATATCTTGAAGGATGGGACTTTGAGGATTTGGTAACCGATTGCGACCCTTTGCGCCCGCGGGTGGCCACCATACAACCGATCGGCAAGGGATGGGTCGATTTTGTAAGGGACATTCATGCTGTTGTGCTGCTTGGTCGCGGCTTTGGTGACATTATACGACCGTCAGGTACAGGCTTATGCGAGTACTGGGCGGACTTACCAAAGAACCAATTTTACATTGCTGGTTGTCTCTCAGACTTGGAGCGTCTAAGTAAGGCGTCTGGAGGTCAGGACGAGCATGAATGGGTGACGAGCAATTTGATATGTCACACACCTTCAACGGCCTTCATGTTCTGCCAGTGCAAAGGCGGGCTAGGACACGATCATGGCGAGCCAGTGCAGACGCTTTTCCCCTCGACGATGTGTGAGGCCTTGCGCCCTAACGTTCACCAGTTGGAGTTGAGAGGCCCTGGGGCAATCATCTTTGGACACAACTCGACCTTCCCTTGGGTATGGGGCGACATTGGACCTCCCGAGGAGGGAGAACTGGGGGGAACAGACATTGCATCCAATTCAGTCGGTAAAGATACAGATTCTTTCAAAGACAGCGGTATTGGGTTTAGCCCTGGTCCAAGCACGAAGCGTACTGCTACCCCTTCGTCTACGACAAACACTAGGAGCCTATCTGAATCTATGAGTGACCTCCTCATGCGCTCTACGAGGGAAGAGTCGATGGCTGCGATAGACAAAAGAGCGTACAGCCGAGATCGATATACAGTGGGGATCATATGTGCCCTATCCAAGGAACTTATGGCCGTCCGAGTACTCTTTGATAGCAGACATACTGGCTTCAAGACAGGAGTTGCGGATAGTAATCAATATGCCCTGGGAGAGATAGCGGGACATTTGGTGGTCGCCGCATGTCTCCCGGCCGGAGAGTATGGAACCAACTCAGCGGCAAGTGTAGCATCCAACATGAAACGCAGCTTTCCATTCATCCGGTTCTGCCTCTTGGTTGGTATTGCCGGTGGAGCGCCGTCAGAAAATAATGATATTCGTCTTGGCGACGTAGTCGTTGGCCTCCCTACCGGTACCAATCCTGGGGTTTTCCAGTATGATCTCGGGAAAAGTAACGAGGACAACTCGTTCTATCCTACTGGAGTGTTGCAACGCCCGCCTCGCGTGTTGACCAACGCTATCAATGCCTTGCAATCTGACCCGGAGCTACGAACAGACCCCCTGGGACCTCACCTGGAGAGAATCATTAACGATCTACCAGAGTACAGATATCCGGGGTCGGAACTGGATGTGCTTGTCCCGTCCTTCTACAATTTGTGTGAATCACGAAAAATACCTCGTGATTCCTGCCCTCATATTCATCAACGCGCTCCACGCGCCACGAATACGCCTGTCATTCACTATGGCCTTATCGCTTCCGGAAATCGCGTGGTAAAGAATGCAGCGTTCCGTGACCAGTTGACACAAGAGCATGGTGCACTATGCTTCGAGATGGAGGCTGCCGGTATTATCAATACAATAGACTGTCTCGTCATTCGCGGCATCTGCGACTACTGCGACGGGGCAAAAAATGACACCTGGCAAGAATATGCGGCAGCGACAGCAGCGGCATATGCGAAGCTCTTGCTTGGCGCTGTGGCTCCGGTAGAAGAGGATAATGTCGATGAAGGTTGGAGAAGTGGTGATGAACCAAGAACGAAGAAGCGGAGATGGATATCGTAATTCGGCTTTTCTGGGATTTAAGTTTAAAGAGACTACCGTCGTCCGAGGACACCGGCCACTTGTAGCCTATGGGCAAGATAACGATACACGCAAAAGCACCCTAATTCTACTCCCATGGAATATCTAGCGGTATAATCTCCTATAGGCGTTACGTGTCTGTTCATGCTCTTTTTGAATGGCGCCAAAAACCGTATCTGAGGAACCCTTAGTCGTTAACTCCTTTGAAAGGGGCAATATTTTGCCTCTTACCTCAAAACAAAAAGAGTTGATAAGAACCAAAGCCAAAACTCCACGATCCTTGTAACTCTTTCTCCCTTTGAATTCTTACAATTTCTCATTGAGGAGTTTGGTCGCCTCCCGTTTGGCGAATATTGTCGATCAGTCGAATCGACTGTGCCTGATGACCAAAGGAATGCAAAGAAGCGGCTGCCAGAAAGGTTTAGAACTAGCTATGTTCTATCTTTGAAGAAGCTTAGTACAAGCGCCCGCGGGGAGCCATTGGAAATATGGCGCTAGGATTTGCACTTAAATAACCTTCTTTAGCATTCGTGGTCGGCCAAGACCACCACATCGAATAAGAAGGTATATTTACCATAGGAAGAGGGAGTACTTATCGGAATAATTTATCAGCCTTGAAGTTAAAGAAGTCCGAAGCTGTCACCATCATGGCCTAGTACAGCCCTAACTTCGAATGCTATTGCTACAACATGTCTTAACTGGGAGCTTCCTTAAACTCGCGAGCTCTCCCTTATATCCTTCAATGGGTTATCATTCTCAAACTTTCCTAGACTTTGTTTTTTATAGATAGTGGGCAAAGGCCAATGGTAGAAACAATGCCATTACAGATCTATATGCAAAGGTCCCCATGGAGTAGTGACGTCAATTCGAGATTCTGCTCGGCGAGATATTCTACATAACTTTGCGAGTGTGTAGCTTATGTTAGATTCTCTGTCCGGTTCACGCAGTAAGGACTCCTTCAAACATCACTTAGGGGCGAGATGGACTTAGCCGAATGCAAGCCATCTCAATTGCCCGTATGGACCGTATGGAGGCGGACCAAAATGAGACAAGCCACCACTTCTTGCTTTGTTCCACGTTCAGCCGCAAAGTTAATTGCCGTATTGCTCGGTGTTGCCGTCATCAGACTAAACATCCAGCTGATCATAAATAGGGCGGCACGTCTCCCCGCACTGACCGTCAAACTAATTTTCTTCCCCCCTCATTAGAATTCACTACACGTTGCAAGCAATTAAATATGCATCGTATCATAGTCCTGAGTGACGGTACCTGGTGCGGCCGCGAGACTGGCACACAGTCCAACATCTATGAACTCGCCGAGCTCATGGGAATTCAAATCGGCAATCCAAACACAGAGGACCAACATATCCTGCGTACCCCAACAGTCATAGCCCGGTACCATCATGGCGTCGGCGTTAATAGCACGTTTCTGGACTACCTCTTCAACGGCATCACCGCGCAGGATCTTGCTGCCGAGTGCATCTCCACTTACAAGTTCATCGTCGAGAACTACACTCCAGACCACGAGATATGGCTGTTCGGGCTCAGTCGTGGATCGTACACAGTACGATGTGTGGCTGGTATGATTAATAATTGTGGAATAATCCGAAAGTGCAGAACTGCCGAAGAGACGGACCTTCTGTGCAGGGAGGTATATCGCATTTACCGCTCGCGATATGCCATCAACAATCCGCATTCAGAAGCGTCCAAGGAATTCCGCAAAGCGAAGTCCTGGCCTCTTGTGGGTGACGAAGACTCTCCAGAGGACCGTTCTAAAGCCCCTGTTCGTTTTATGGGTGTCTTCGACACTGTCGGCGGTCTAGGCATCCCGACCTTTACTGGAGGGGTTGGTCTCGACTGGCCCGAATTTTACGACAACGTTGTCTCCTCCGTCGTGGATCAAGTGCATCACTTGGTGTCTCTGCATGACAGATTCTACATCTTCCAGCCTTGTCTTGCTATCCGAAAGGATGGGTCGAAATCGGGCATTGAAGAGGAGTGGATTCCGGGGGTGCATTATGACCTCGGCAGACAACGATTTCGGTTCTTCAGAATCGGAGCCAGAATAGTTGAGAGATGGCTCGGGAACTGGAGCTTTGCTTCTAAAGTGATTGAGCCGAATGAAGTACTTGCAGACTTCGCGCTATCGAAGATGCTGAGGGCTATTCACAGCCAAGATCCCACCAACACAATCATCTCAAAAGCAAAGCTGGATGAGGCCGAGGGGAGAATCAAACGAGGCCAGACGTCAGGCAGACCTAAGACTGGTGATGGCGACGTCTATGCTAAAATTGCGCAGTATGCTCCGTTTGGGCAGCCTCTCTGGGGTATTTTTACAACCCTATCCCGAATGGCGCCGGCCATAATGGAGCTATTGCTTGCACTGAGAGATCGGTTGATTCCTGATACACGAGCAAATGTGTATGATTTTATGGCGATTGACAAAAGTGTATCTGAAACGCAGTCGCTTGCACAGATTGCCCGAGTGTCCGCCGACCGATATCCATCTCAAACGTTCCAATCTTGGACCTTAAGAGGGGGCAGGGCCACCCATTAATACAGCATGATCTTGGGGATCGCCTCAGGTGCAGGTTCATTAGAGCTCTTCATGTGAAAATTAGTCTGTTGCATTTATCATCAACTTGTTCTGATTGGGAGTCTGCACAATAGCAAATCTTCAGAATGTAAATCATTGAGTACAAGTTCTAATATTACGAATACCACAGCGTCTAATTTCCTTCAAGAGTCACATTTCCGTCTTAAACTAATCAGCCTATTATTCACCCCAACCTCAAACCCATGATGACCAAGGAGAGACTCATAAAGAATGAGGACGTAGTCTCCATACTCCCAGCTCACTCTTCAGTGTCCAGACCTTGGAGAAGATAGAAAAGCTCAAATCGATTCTTGATCCACATCGTATTGTAGATGCTTCTCGTCTATGCCGAAATTGAATACCCCAGAGACCCAAGACAACTGTGCAGAGGTCCATATAAACATCTCCTTTGCCCACAGCCCCAGTGGCGTGGTCTTCCTTCGCGCCTTGCCATTCTCCACGGAGCGTGCGACGACATCGGCAATACGAGGCTTGCGAATCTCCTCCACTCTTTCAAAGGCAGCTTCGAATGACGTGGTCTCGTCTTGACTCTGGAGAACTCGCGCAAGTATGAAAATGTCCTCCAGGGCCATGGAGACACCCTGGCCCGCGTGAGGAGGCATGGCATGCGCTGCGTCGCCCAGCAGCAGGACTCGGCCTCTTGCCCATCTGCCCGGGGGTAGTTTGTGAACGGGGTAAAAGTTGACGACTCCGGTACTCTCGACAATCTTCTTCAACAGATTGCCCCATTCTCCCTCCGCATTCTTCAATAGATTGCTGGCTGTCTCTTTGAAATGTTCAACCTCTTCAGTCCGGCGAACTTCCCATCCGTCCTTGGCATCCCCTGACACGGGAAGAGGAACTTCTCTAGATAGTCCCCAAAATACCTCGTCATGTCGAGCAGTGCACGGGGCAGTAATGAACATTCCATCCTCGGTCAATGTGACACCGAGGTTCTTCATGGTTGCTCGCGCAGACTCCGAGAGCGAGACAATGCCTCCGAGGCCGGCCATTCCAGTGTATTCCGGGACACGATCTGGGTCGACATAAAGTGTTCGAACTGCAGAATGAATTCCGTCACATCCGAGCAGGAAGTCTGCCGAATCCACCGTTCCATCAGAGAATGTGGCGTGTACTTGATCAGTTTCCTCTTTGATGGAAACTATACGCCTATCGTAATGGACGGGGATGTTTTCTCGTTTGACTGCCTCAAGCAGGACTTCCACGAGTGCTGTTCGCTTGATTCGTAGGTACCCAAATCCGGTTTTCTGGAGGGCATCACCAACCAAGGGTCGCTCAGCCAAGACCTGTCCACGAACGGAATGGATGGTTACAACTTGCGCACTGCTGCCACGAGCCGTGAGTTTTCCATGTAAGCCTAGCCGGGCAAGGAGTCTCATTCCATTGGGCATGATTCCAATGGCGCCACCAATTGTGGTGGGTTGATTACGAAGCTCGTAAATGGTGCATTGGAGACGAGGGTATTGCTCCTTGAGGCGGAGAGCAGCCGCCAACCCGGCTGGGCCACTTCCAATAATTATCGCCTAAACTTTGTCAGTTTCTATGAACATTCTTAAGAAGTGATGGAATTAAGGATCAAGAGTGGCTGACTTTGCTAGCTTTCGACATGATTGACTGCAATTCTATGTTCGAGTAGAAGAATGGGGGAATAGAGGCAAGGATATCTGTAGCTTCTTTGAGTCGTGGTAAAATCTGTTGTTTTTCTACTTCTCTGTTGACAATGAACCTCGATCTTTCTCCCCTTTATACCCTCTCACTCACCATCATCAAGACTCGCTTCTGTTGACGTCGCCGCGGCGTGAACTGCCAAATCGAGTTAGTGTTTCCGCGGGGCCGCGGTGATCCACACAACGGCCATGTTATCTCCCGAGGACGGGCAACAAGTAAGCGAAGGCCGGGCTTCAAGTACGCGAGTAGCATAAGCTTGAGTGGCTCGGGGAAAACTAGAGAACCTCCTTTGGATCGTGATTATATTATCCGAAGCATGCCGCGTCATTCAAGCTGGACACCTTCTGGGGGTGTTCCTGTAGTTGTAGCATGTGAATAACGGTACTTCGTTACTCTATTCTTTATAGCAAGGTTAAAATGCTGTCTATCGCCAGATACTTCGCTATTGTACGCTGGGCTCCCAATCCGTGTACATGTCTTCTAGCAACATATTCCAGTCTGTAGCCTCCAACTCCGGGGCCACAGCCCAGAAGTCGTCCCATAGCTGATCCACCCCAGAGCTGCTGCTATCCATTGCGGAAACACTACCATCAACTGAAATTGGGACATCCTGGATCATTGAATCCAACCCAGGCTCACCTCTCACCTCTGATCCGATAGGATACAGTTGTGGCGGGTGCTGGGAAAGAGAACGTTGCGCTGTCACGGTTTCAGGTCTCCGTGCTATTTGAGCTCTGCGCAAGGACGACGGATTAGCCGTTCGCCTTGACTCGAGAGTTGTCATCAGAGCCTGTAAATTCTTCTGGATCGTCTCCACAAGCGTGATTGAGTCCTCTTTAGAGCTCTCCAAGGTTTTGTATGCCGCCATCACTTTGGCCTTCCTGTCCTCCGCATCCGGTCCCTCGGGATTGATGGAAACATCTGTTGCCAGGGTCAAGGCCGCGAGGAACACATGTTGCGTAATCTTCCAAAAACGGGCTGGGTGGCAGCCTGCTTCTGTCCCAACCTGGTCCATAGCACGACGCAGCTCCAGGACCCGGTGAGCAGACCGGATGCACATGGTACGTGAGTATGCGTACTCTGGATTCAGCGAGCCCTCTAGGTGATACAGGCGATGAAGTCGGCAAATGCGTGCGTGAATACTAAAGTTGGTGGTGAGTCGTTGCAACACAAGATCGGGTCGCTGCGTGCAATCATCCTGGCTCATTCTTATACTGTCGGAATCTAGTCTGAGAAAAGGAGGCAGTTCATCAAGGTGATCCTGCAGTTTTTGTCCTATTTCCAAGACGACACTGTACTCGGGTTCGTTGCCCTCTAGTAAAGTTGGCCCCATGATATCTACAATCTCACGACAGAGGGTGGCAAATCTGACGCGTGCTAGGAAAGTAGACATCGCTGTGGGTGTAGAGAGTGGCAGGTCAGGTCCTGGCATGGAGGCCGTGATATGGTGATCGTCGACATTCTTCGGATAATCCACCTTCATGTGCTGCGGATGGAAAGAGTAGACACCATCAAACGGGCCTCCCGCAAAACTCATTAGCCTGTAGTTGATTGTTACTCGGCTGTCAAAGAAAGAAATTTTCCATGCAACTCACCAGTCATCCGCGACCATGTGCCACCAAATCCTTCGCTGAACCTCAAGCTCGATCATATTGCATCCATTGCGCTGTCTCTCCTCTCGGGCCTTGACGGTATCAAGACGGTGAAGCTGCAAGAGACGTGCCATAAGCAAACACCGGCTCCGTAACGCAGACAGTTTATGTGAGAAACCATGACCATTGACGAGAACAACTGCCAAGTTAGCGGTTCCCGCCAGACTAATCGTTGTCGGTGGCAGGGGGCTTTCCGTGTCCTCCAGTATGGATAGCGCAACTTGGCTATAATTAGCGAAAGCAATTTTGCATTCAGCTTTCGTGGTGCAAAGCTTCCTCAACATAGGCCGCGTCCATACCAGTGCTGCCCCTGAAAATATACTGAACAGCAGGAGGAGAGTCTCTGGGTCACTTACTGTTCCACTCTGGAGAGTCTTGTATGATTCTTGCAGAATTTCATATGTCGATGGAATGTGCAGGAGGCAGGACATAGGATGGAGATTCTTGGTAAACTGATCGAACAAGATGTTGGCTTCCTCGACTGGAGGAAGAAGCCGAGAAGCATCTTCCACTGGCAGGTCTTTCGGTGTATAGACTTTCTGGGATATGTCCTTGAACGAACAGAAATCTACCATATGCTAACGTCAGCAACTCGCCTGAAAGCCATTCATACCTTCATTCGTACCTGGGTTTCTCTTCCGCGGCGATTGATAGGGGTTCGTCTCACTTGTCTGGTTAAAGACAGCCTCCTCTAGTCTGCGGATTCTCGCGAGCAGTTCTCCCGAAGACCTGAAAAGCAGTAGATCAGCATCGAAAACAGCTACGGGTAGCAAGGGTCGCGTACGGCGCGGGTAGGTCAGGCGACGCCAAGGCTACTGGCGAGCGCGAGTTGGCTTGCTCAATTCCCGCGGGAGGAGCGGGGATACGCTCTTCCCTTTCAATAATCGGATGGCCGTCGCCCGTGTTGTCTGTGTAATCACACCGTAGATTCCTGAGGGAGCAATTGGCGCAGGGCTGCTTTCGGTCGCAACGACGCTTTTTCTCTCGACAAGCGCGACATGACAACGGCAGCCGGTTCCACCGATGGACAATCATCGCCGGACCTCCATCTCGACCTCTCTTCATCGCGATAGATGGCGTGAAGAGAGCCTTCAATATGAGTAGAGCAAGTACAATTGACAGAGGAAAATTCCGATTAGTTGACCGCGACTTATCCGGCTTTAGACCGTGGCCTAGTACGAGCAGTGAGACGGCAAATCGGCACCCGTCCAGCCCCTCGTAATTTCATCATTCGTAATCAAGGGGTGCAGAATGAGTACACCCAAAATGCTGGAAACCCTCCCAATCCTCAGGAGTTCAAGGGCTTTATTGAAGAACGAAAAGAGGTTTCTGGAGCTACATTGCGAGAGATATTCAGGTAAAAAAGTTTTCTGTAGTGGAAATGAGACGACGGAGGCAATCTACCCCTCCGAGTCAAAGTTGCCGCGCTAGATGTCGAGTTGGCCTTCTCAAAACATTTTTCTATTATTATCAGCTGTATTGGATTATTTCTCAATTTTAGGAGAGCAAATTAATGACAGATACAAAGAAGTAATCGTGCTTCACTGACAATACGTAATTATAGAAACTCTTGATGTGGGTATAGGGTAGTGAAAAGTTTCGACTCAAACTCCATCGCCGACGCTCATTAGGCAGTGCGCGCTTGTAGAAAGAGTTGAGATAATTGTATGAGATTGAGAGGAGTACTCCTAGATCCAGAGTGAGTTACTGTGCATCATTTCTGAGTTTTGTGGCGAATCAATGATTTCAGCCAAGAGGCTTGGCCGTCAGTCTAAGAATGAGGAGAGGCAAAACAGCATCAACATTGCCCAGTTGCTTCCGCCAGCAGAGTCCTTTTAACTTAATATCATAAATTCCAAGAACGCAGAGAAGACCTCCTGGGTATTTTAAAGAGGAAAAGCTTTTGCCTCGTGATTTAAGGTTGAATTTAAGGTTGGATGATCCGTCAATCTTCTAAACTTGTGCCAAGGAGAAGAAATCAAGGCTTGCGTCAGCGCTATCAGGCTCGGCAAGCTTGGCGTAGTCTTGGATTGGCCTCTTAGCAGACTTGTTTTTCAAACCACGCGTAGTCGTTGACGTATGTGGTTCTTGGCAGATAAGGGCCAGGATCAAATGGGTGGTAAGTTCATTTCGTACCTTGGCCCCTGAAGCCTTAATTATCTTTGTCGTCAGACATAGCTCTATATAGGGTTACTACTCTTTTTTCCAATTTCTGTTCTCCTTCACTGCGGCCTCCACAAGTAAACTGACGAGCTGATCCCATGGCAAACGAGAGCATTGGGCAGTCGTTCCAGGCACATCAACACCCTGCCCAGTACTCCGACAATGTAAAATATTTGAGCGACGGCGAGATCCAGCAGTTCATTGATGATCTCGATCACAATGACGATGGCTTCATCGACTACAAGGAGATTGAGCAAAAGCTCGATCAAGCTCATCAAGAGCTTGTGCCCAAACCTGACGCGCATCACATCATCAAACGCGGGCACGATTCCCATGACAAAGACGCCCGACACGTCTTCCTCAGGAGTCTGATGGGCTCGGACGCCGATCGCATTTCTCGTCAAGACTTCGCAGACATCGTTCGCCAATGGAACATCCCTTCCTTGAAGCAGGCCAAGAAAGACGAGGAAGATGAGAAGACGTACTTCAGACGGCGGCCGGGCTGGCGCAAGATCAGGGCTTACTGGGCTGTCCACGGCCCTGAAGTCGCCTTTCTCGCTCTTGTGATCTCGATGCAGGTTACTTTCGGCGTCTGGCAGCTTGTGAAATATTACACGACGCCTGAATACCGGGCTGCGTTTGGTTGGGGAGTTGTTATGGCTAAAACCTGCGCGGGCGCCCTCTACCCGACCTTCTTCTTCCTCATCTTGAGCATGTCCCGGTATCTATCAACAGCGCTCCGCAGGTCATACTACATTTCAAGGTTCATCAACTGGGACTTGTCCCAAGATTTCCACATTCGAATTTCTTGTGTGGCTATTCTCCTTGCCACTCTACATGCCCTCGGCCACCTGACTGGATCGTTTGTCCACGGGAGCAACCCTAACAATGAGCAAGAGGTGGCCAATTTACTAGGACCTGACTCGGTCCCGCGTCCTTACATCGCCTACATTCGCTCCCTGCCTGGGTTTACCGGTCTTACAGCGCTAGGGCTTATGTACACTTTGTCTCTTCTCAGTATCCCGCAGGTGCGCCGTTGGAGCTATGAGATTTTTCAACTGGGACATCTTCTAATGTTCCCTATAATCGGCTTGATGATGGCTCACGGTACAGCCCACCTTCTTCAATGGCCCATGTTCGGTTACTTCCTCGCTTTCCCAACGTTGCTGGTGCTCGTTGAACGGGCGACCCGTATCCTGCTGGGATTTCACTCCATCTCTGCGCGGCTCAAGGTTCTAGATGACGAAGCGGTGGAAGTCACCGCCGTGATTCCAAGCGAACGATTGTGGAAGTATCGCGCGGGACAGTATATCTTCCTGCAGGTTCCTAAAATAAGCTTCTTTCAGTGGCATCCGTTTACTGTATCATCTTGCCGCGGCAACGAGATGACCGTCCATATCAAGACAGATGGCAACTGGACGAGGAGGCTACGCGAGCTGGGTGGTACAACAGGTGATTCAGAGATCCGTGTTGGGGTAAACGGACCTTTTGGGGCTCCTGCTCAGCGTTTCTATGATTTTAGTCATTCAGTTATCATTGGTGCTGGCATAGGCGTTACTCCGTTCTCGGGGATTCTCGCCGATTTGCAGCACAAGGATGACCTGGACCATGGTGGCCCATTAGGACTGACTGTGCATTCCGATTCATCGAACGAAACATCGCAGACCACACCAGGCCTGACTGAGAGCTCGAGTGATGAAACAAGGCCGGAGGGCCAAGTAAGAAATGAAGAGCTGCTCTCGGACGATGATGCGAGGGATTTTGCAGATGACTATCGCCGGGTGGATTTCCATTGGATGGTCCGGGACAGAAACTATTTGCTCTGGATTTCTGACCTCCTGAATGAAGTCTCTGTTAGTCAAACCTGGCACCGCGAGAACGAACGACACCGACACTTGGAAATTCGCCTGAATACACACGTTACGGCCAAGAGTAAGAGCGTGGTGACACACGTCTACCGCTGGCTCTTGGAAATGCACCGCACCAAGGAGCATCCAGCCTCGCCGCTCACTGGCCTGTTGAACCCTACGCACTTTGGACGGCCTGATTTCGATAAGATTCTGGACGAGCATTACGACGAGCTGCGGGAAGATCAATTGAAGATGCGAAAGAAGGAATCGGAAAGCTCCCCTGGCCTTGGAGATAACCTCGACAAGGAGCTCAAGGTGGGCGTTTTCTATTGCGGAGCGCCGGTTGTTGGAGAGATTCTCGCCGATAAGTGCAGAGAGTTGACCACGAGAGGCCGACATGATGGGAGTAAGATTGAATATCATTTCATGATCGAGGTATTTGGCTAGTTAAAATTGAACGCCAGACTATTTGTCCGATTTTCATGTCACCGCACAGCATGTAGAGTCAAAATATTATCTCAGCGTGGAATCAAAATGTCCGGTGGTCGTGAGAAATCTGAAGGTCTAGAAAAGCGATCAGGGGTCCAATCCCTCATCTTAAATATAACCCAGGTCTCATCTCTAGCCAATCCAAACGGTTAGAATATCGCTTATCCCAGTACTGCCTCTCCATTGGCGAATCTCGCCTCAACGTGTTGGACAAGATGAGCCACGTGGGTTGAACAAGGCCTTGGAATGGCGCAGATCGTCATCCGCCAAAACACCACAACAACAAGGCGTCAGACCCCACTGAGAGATTACTGTGTCTAGCTTATCGGCAGGATGGGAAGAGACTTGGACAGTTGGGGCGGTGCAAAACCATAATTCTCTCGTTGTGATATGACCAGGCTCGAGTCCTGATTCATTCGTTGCTTTTCCTTGTATATGCCCGCTCCCTCGGCTTCCCTCGTACGTTCTTTTGAGCTCCAGGGCCGGAGCCATGGTGGTATTCAGGTCGCTGCGCCAGTCGTCCACGTACCTGTACCTCAAGGCGTACTGTCTCTGTGCCCTGGTCTCCCTCTTCAAAGCCACGCCTGTGTCATCCGGCATTTCGCACGCGAGGAGCCAGTTGCATTTGGATAAGTTCCAAGAATTTGCAAGCCGCAATGCCCGGATAGCATTTGTCAGAGAAGCGCTGGCAGCGAAGAAAAGGAGGCTGGAGCGAACCGGGAAATCGACACCGACGCTTGAGCCAGGAACAAGACGATCCGTGACTTTGAATTCCATCGCGCCCGTGAGGACGACGGTAGAGAGGTGGTACCACAGGACTGCTGATCTAGCCCAGGTCAAGCATCTTCTTCGCCGGGATGATTCCGATTACAAGGCGTACCCCGAGTTGAAATGGGATGCGTCTGTTAGATGCTCGCCCGACTTGCATCGCGAGGAAAAAGAATTCATAGACTTGCGTAAAAGGCGCATCTCTTCTCAGGGCGAGGATTCGTTACACAAATTCCTCGGCTTGCCACCGGATGAGTTGGTCGATCCCCGAGATGTGCCCTTGGTGTCTCTCGGGGGTTCTGGTGGAGGCTATAGAGCAATGTACGGTTTTGGGGCCTTCATTTTGGCATCGAAGAAGTTGCATCTCTGGGACTGTATAACCTGGGTTGCTGGAGTTAGTGGAAGCTGTTGGACACTGGGTGCCTACTACACGATTGCCGGCCACGATATTGGCAAACTCATGCGGCATTATGTGACCGTTGCTCACGAACTTGCCCACCCCATCAGTTTGTACGCTCTTAATGTGGTGGCGCGGAGCAGCAAAGGGGTCTATTTTCTCATCGGGCCCTTACTTCGAAAGGTGGAATGTAGAATTATTGGACTGGGTATCATGGATCTCTACGCGACCCTGATCACGACGTATCAATTTCTGTCACGGCAGCCAGGAATGAGACTGAGCAGAGCTACTTTCCAGTTCTCAAAGGTTTGGGGTCGGTCTTGTGCCAAGAGAGCAGCAGAGCCCATGCCAATCCTTACAGCTGTGAGGAGGGCCCCTAAAGATGCCGAGGGGGTAAAACCACACAGAGATTCTTCCATTAGCAAGGGACAACCTCCAGATCGATCACTGACACAGCATGACGCTGATTGTTTGAATGCACGTCTAGTCCGGGAGCAGGAACGCTCCAGGGACGGGCGAGGGAATATCATCCGACATGATGGCCTCTATCAATGGTTCGAGATCTCTCCTCTGGAAATTGGATGTGTTGATATCCAGAAGTACATTCCTACTTGGTCGTGGGGACGAACATTTGTGTCTGGTCATTCTTCTGATCGAAGGCCTGAGCAGTCCTTCGCACTCTTACTCGGCCAGTGCACAAGTGCTCCGGCCGGGCCACTGACAGGCTACATATCCGCCCTTCTCGCTTCCCTACCGAAGGGTACGATAATGTCAAGGGCGCTCTTCGCAATAAATAGATTTATCCGCCAGAAGAAATGGGAAAGGCTCTGGGTGAATCCGATTCGTGCTGGACACGACCCGAACCCTTTTTATGGCCTGAATTTCCCGTTAAACCACAACAGAGATGCACTTGAGGTAGATGGCGCTTGGGGTTCAGTGGAAGACGAGAGCACTTCCAGCAAGAAAAGTACGACTTCTCAGGGCGAGCCAGCGAAGACCCAGAAATGGGAAGCACAAGGAAGAGTTAGACTCATGGACAGTGGGATGTCAAACAACCTGCCAAATCACGTACTGGCACGAGCAGAGCGCTCTGCTGACGTTATTATCTCTTTTGATGCATCATCGGATGTCCAGACACATTCTGCTCTTCAAAGAATACATAATTTCGCTGAGGACAGCGGTATCCATTTGGAGGATCGCAGCGATCTCTTTGAGCCGCCGAGATCAAGAAGAGAGAAGGGTGTCCTTGGACCAGCAGCTGCTCACATCGAATCACATCATCTTCAACAATACGCACAGGTTTTCAGAGGAAGAAGGCAAAATGGCCAAGTGCTTTATATAGTGTATTGCCCGTTACTACCAAACCCGGCTAATCCTCACTATAACCCTTCTGTGAGTCCCTAGAACTGCTCACAAAGACACGTATGAATCTCTGACACTTTTGAAGAAAGCAGCCTTCTCGAGTTCCTACAATCTTGTATGGACACCCGAACAGGTTAGCACACTTCTTTCAACAGCAGAGTCCAACCTCTCAGATTATGCCATAACGGTGATTCAACAGGTGATGAGAAGGGTTTACATGGACAAAAAAGCCCAGCGGCTGGACTTAACTCAAACTAGTCAACATGCTATTGGCTATGCCTCCTACCAGGACTCGGGAGATCAACGGTATAGCGCTGCTGCTGGATAGTAGATACAAAATAGAATGTATTTAAAAGAGCTAGACCATGAGTCTATGAATTTGTTCAACTCCAAATTCGTGATGTACTGTTGGTTCCTTCCGGACTAGGCAAAGTTTACTCGCCTTGTGTTCTTTGAAGGAGAGTCCATACATAGTATCCCAGAGAAAAAAGGGTCAACGTGCTTAAAAGGAGTTGGAATAGAGCGGTTTTCTCGATCGTTCCCTTCCCAAAAGCGCCCGATATCTTCCGTCGCCCCTCATCTGTTACTCCCAAAGGTGTTGTTGTATGAACAAGGTCTGGGATCCATTTGAATAGGAACATGGTCTTGTATCCCAAAGCTCCTTTCGTCTTATTAAAGACGAAAGCGTCGTAGTAGGAACGTTTCATGAACTATTATTTGGAATTAGTAGTATGGCCACTAGCGGAAGGTGGCGTGACTTGCATCAATTTTGAGGCGATCAAGGATCGGAATCGATGACGTGATGTAGCTGATGAGCATAAAGTGCCAGCATTGCGAGGCCACGAGAGCATAATGGTACAGACTTGGTTTCTCAATCTCGAGAGCTCGCGCGAGCTGCGGCCCGTTCAACCACCAAGTCAGGGCGTTGATGTAACCTCGGGAGGCGTAGATCGGCGGTTCTCCCTCGAAGCCGGTGATGATGTTATTCGCCAAAATGGCAGACTTCTTTGTCGGTTTATACTCTGAAACGAGGAGCGACTCCATCATGGCTTTGGCCATCTCTGGTGTTGCCATCCAATCGTGCGGTGTGCCCATCAGAAAAGCTACATATCGCCAGAGCGCAAGGTAATCAACAATGTCCCGCTTGCTAAGATAAATGCCCTGGCGGGGATATCCCAGCCAAATAACCGTAGAGCTGAACGTGTTGATGGTGCCGATGCAGTCGAGATCGTTGATGGGAACTCCATTGTCCTTGATGCTATAGTACTCAGGCTTCTCCTGAGCGAGCTTCATGATACGGCGACGGACGGAGCTATGAAGGAGTCGCACACGGATGGAGGCCTCCCAGCCCTCACCGCCGGGTTGAATGGACTCTATATCCCTGTGTACATCGAACGTGTGCTGTACCGTCTCCATCAAACGCCGCTTGACGGCGCGGGCACCAAAACCTCCAGTACGATCGAGGGTCTCTACCGTCCTTCCACTCGCCATGCCACCCAGTAGAGATAGATGGGTAAGCTTCGTTAACTCGTTAGTAAGAAGTCTTATAGGCAGATGGAATCAAGAATCCTGATGATCTTACAGCAGTAATGGCAGGACCAGCGTATCTCCAGAAGACCTTTTGCCCCCTTTCGATCTCATCCCAATCGACCCATTTTGGAACGGTGTTGACCTCGTTCCACAGCGCTCGGATCGCCTGATCGTCATTTTCATGCTTCTTCAGGAGCTTAAAAGAGTCCCTCGTTTGGGACTTTTCTTTTGGCTCATAGGCTGTTTGTATGTCTTTTCGAGGAGCGATCGGGGCAGGTGGGCTCAGGTTATCGAGAGCTTCCAACGCATCCGTCGACAGTGTGTCATAAGAGTAAAGATAGCGGTTGAGTTGGTCAGGGGTTTGATGATATGGAGTCCACCTGAAATTGAAGCCGTACCAATCAAGGTACTCGCCCTGCGTCGGGGGTTGAGACATGGCAGTGCCGGGAATCCAGGAGCGGTTAGCTTTTAGGAGAGAATAATATCACGAAAGTTAGACTAAATGAATCTGCTCTCGTATTGTTCTAGTATCAGCGAATGCATGCTGGTTCCAACCTCACGAAGCTGAAGACGATGCATTCTATTAATACTGATCACGCGCCGACGCTTGTGGTTCCATTACATAGTGCGAGTAGAGTTGGTGTCAACATGCTACCTTATTGGTGAGGGCAGACACAGGATTGGTAACCACTTCGTTACCTGGTGACCTTGACGATCAGAATGCCGAGGCTTGTAATGGTAGACGGTATCAATAAAGCACCTCGAATTATTATAGGCAGACAATCTGCTTCTTGATCCCCGCATTATTGTGTCTTCCTCTCTCTATGCTACCTACCGAGGCACCCTTTTCCCGGGATCTGCGGGGTTATTGGGGGCTGTAACGTCATCTCGATTATCATCAACGCACTCTTCTACAATGGGATGGATCTGGACTCGTGACTTTCCTACAAGTGCACACCGGGTGTTAGTCGGAGTACAATGGCGACCTAAAAGCCATCAGGTTAGGTGATTACTGTGAAGAGCGAGTCAACGACCCAGTGGCCATGTCACCTTGCAGCAAAGGCGAGTCACTCCGAGACTTTTCAATCATTTTTCAATATGCTCATCTCAAATTTATGGGTCTCACGGACTGGCCAAACTTTATTCTCAGATGTATCAAATGGATTCATGAGAGTGATGATGCAAACCATTTGGAAGTCGTATCGGGCTGCCGGTCATTCTCTAAGGCCCGATATACTAAGTCACCGTTGCATTCGGTCCATACTCTATCACGAAGGTCGTCGGAGTGCTAGCGAAAGCTTTTAACAATAAGGTTCTAAGACGGGGGTTTTACCTCTATCACATTTTACGGTTCTGCAGTTCACGGATCGGAGTTTGCCGGCCAAAGGTGTGAAAACTGAGACTAGCCCAGTATGTTGCGCGGAGATCCAAAGCAGAAAGCAAAGTAGGATTCATTCATTTATTAATTCATCTGCTTTCTAATTTGTAGTCGCCTTACTTTCCATCCCGATGTGGACTATAGAGGTTTCCGGGCAACTGCGCGCTTGGCGGCTTGGTCGATGGTGTCCGACAGTGTCTCTGGCATGCTCAAGAACGGCATGTGGCTTGAACTCAGGCTCTCCGTGAATGAACTAGCGGGGAGTTGTGAGGACAATTCAATTTGAATGTCAAGACTAACTGCTTGATTCTCCTCTGCATAGATGTAGCCAACCTCGATGCCGTTCTCCCATGGAGTAAAAGTCGAAATGTCCTTGAAGGCCTTGAGTGGCATTGAGCGAATGGCTTGGATATGCTTCTCTGCCTTCGGAGGCTCGACATCTCCATAGAAAATAGTGGCTGGGTCACTCGGGGTGACAAATTCTCCCTTGGAGTTCACGTTTGTCAGTTATTGTCAGCAACAAAAGCCGAGATTTCATGCTCACCTGCACGTTCCACCAAGGTGGAAAAGTTCCTCCCACGCTCTCTAAAAGGCTTGCCCCCGACTCAATGGCAAAAGACGTTACGTATACGACCATGATCACGCCTCCTTTCTTGCCCTGAGCCGCCAGATCACTCACGGATAGGCCCTCGACAGCGCACGAAGAGGGCACGCCGCCGTACGAATGGGCTACCACTACCACGTCCTTGCCCTCTTCGACGAGCCTCTCGATTATTGAGCGTACATTGGCCACGTCTTCTGCCAGGCCTATTTTGGGATCCGTGGCGCCGTGGGTGGCCAATGTTGCTGCCTCCGTGGGATAGCCACGCTCATTGAGGTTCGCCCGGACCTCATCGAATATCTCTGGTCCATGCCACTCTCCGGGCACGAAAACGAGGGCGGGGAGCGACGAGTCGGGTGAGGCGGCGGCCATTGTGTTGCGTTGGTAAAGTAAAGTGTGTGAAGGAAAAGAGGATCGTTTCTCTGTCGCAAAATACATGTACTTCTTTGATAAAGGTGGGGCTAGTGGTGATCGCTTATTGACAGTCACTAGCTGGAGACCTGATATCTCCTCATCTCTGTGTGATCTCGTCAGCTGTGAACCTAACAATTTTTTTGTCTTGGATGAATTAGCTGCGAATTAAAGATTAGAAGGGTTGTAAAAGTTTGGCTTTAAGTAAGTAGAAAAGGGCCATCCTCCGTATCTCTATTAGTCTTGAAAAAGTCCGACTTTTCCTTGTGATCAAATATCAGATTTTCCATTGATAAGCCAGCAAACAATAGATTCTCTCGTGAGATTACATATTAAGCACCTTAGGCATGGGCCGGTGGCAAGTTCCACCTGCACTCACTATCACCTGGTTCCCAATATGAATAACTTCGAGACAAGGCATTGAATTCATTTGGGTAACTCCAAATACAATCAATATTACACGTTCGTGCTCCATGAAGAATATTCCTACCAGCACATTTTCTTCCTGTTGGATTGTTCCACGCTCACCAGACTTTTGTCGTGTTCAGCCAACTTATCCAACATATCCTTATACCCAAGGGCGAATCTTGCAGCGGTCCCAAAAGCCTCGTGTAAGTTCGTAGCGTCTTTAGCACTAGTCTCGAAGTATGGGATATCTCCGTTTTCAGCACAGAACTGCAAGGCTTGCTCAGGAGTTACCTGACCACATCATTAATACCGCACTGCATTTGGGAGACCTTTAGATCTTTGTATAACTAACTTGTCGGTTTTCTCCATCATCAGTCTTATTTCCAAGCAGGATCTACCAACAATCAGCAATTCATAAGATAGAAATACCTGAGTAGTAATTCCAACTTACGACGGGAAAATTGTCGATTTCCAGATTGAAGCAAGCGTCGTAACACCCTTTCAGCCAATTCTTTAAGCTTTGAAAGCTTTTCTCGTTATTTATGTCATACATTAGCACACAGCAATGGGTATTTCGATACCATGCCTTGTGTATTGGCCCAAAGCGTTCAAGCCCAGCTGGATCCCAGAACTATTATGATCAGTTCTTTCCATTCAGCCCTCTATAGATCATGTGAAGCCCTTATACCTGTAGTGTTACCTGGCGATCATTGACTGTTGCATGCTTGACCAAAAAGTCAGGCGGGATTCGTGACAGGAACTGAGTGGAAGGAAACAGTTGAGACACCTGTAAGAAGGGGGTGACGGCTTTAAATCAGAATACCCTTCGAGAACATCATCGAGGAGGATAGCGCGGATCAACGTACATATTGGTTGAGGACACTCGTTTTTCCAACACCGAGATCGCCCAGAAGGATAATCTAGCTCCGTAGAATAGTAAGCTACCAAGAGATCATTGAGATTTAATTTACCTTCCACACACCTTTAATTTTAGCTTGGTATTATTTGTAGACATCTTTCAGCGTCCTTTATGTTTAAAAAAATCTGGAGACACAAATAAACTTATAGTGCAAGGTACAGGCGTTCATCAAGTTGTCTGCTCATATCTTATGCTTGCCCCCACACGTAGGCAGCCACAATATAGCCTCTAAATGACGCGTCTGCAGGCTACAGTCAATGATATGCGATAATCGGGCAAGTCGATAATTGTCAGCCTACGTGCTGAGGTTGCCGAAGGTAAACGAATTATGTTAGGCAGTTGGGAAATGAGCGAAAAGAACGCACGAGTTAGCTGTAGCTGAACCAACTTGCCAGGTTTTCAATTAGATTACCGCAACAGCCCGTTTTCCTGCCCAGTCTCACTTGTTCAGGGAAGAGTTTTGATATTGACAAATGTTTCGGCATTTTCCGTTATCTACATCTGCAAATCACGGATCTCCAGGAGATCCATCATCCAGATTCACATCAAAGGTGATGCCGCTTGGAAGCGCCTTGGTCAGGGCATCGGAGAACTTGGCGTCTCTGATAGCAAAGTTGGCAGTGCCAAAGTCATAGTTCATCAGGGTATCACGGATTCCAGATGGGAAGCCATTCCAGCTGACGAGGTCACCGCGGAACCACACCCCTTTGTGGTTTTCTATAGCGTCGTCCTTCTCGGTAGCGAAACGGAAGCAGTGCGTGCTAGAGCCGTCTTTGTGGTAGACCATCTTAGGGTGTTCACCATCCCATCGCACGTCAGATGCAGCCCGGATCTCATAGTTGCCGTGCTGGCTGGCCCCGACGTACTGGGCAACTCCGTCCTTCACCCAAACCGCGATCTATAGCAAGGTAGTCAGCAATGTGTAGTTTTTCTCTAATAGGCGTCTTTTAAGCCACTCACATGCTCTATATCGTGACGGTGCCCGCTCAAGAAGCCAATATACGCAACAGCAACATCTTTCTCAAAGTAGTAGTCATAGATATAAGCGCACCAGCCGTTGTTACAGCGCTGCCGGGAATAGACATTGTTATTATCCAGATCAGACGCCTCGCGACAATCCCCCGCAAGGCTCGTCCACTGGTAAGGCAGACCGGCCGAAATCTGACCGTTTGCATCAATGGCGGGGACGTTATAGCAGCCATCGGTGTCGAAATCCATGGATGGCTGCCATCTCAGGTCATTTGCTGTCGCTTTTAGGGGCAAGGCCTTTGGAGGATCAACGGCCATGATACTAGCGGTTTGGTTTTCGTATTGCCCATTTCCCAGGTAGACGAAATCGCCGGTCGAAAAGTCAGGAGTGGCCAGTGTCGGTGCACTGGTCACAGCAGCCGGGGTAAGTAACCCGATGAGAAGAGGAGCAAGCCAAGTCATTGAGTGATCGTCAAGTCCCAAACGTCGATGCAGTTATGTGGATTGCAGCAGTCACTAGATACCCGTTTCCGCCCTCCAGCAGGAGTTATATATCGACAATCAATATTAATTTTGGTCCACAAGCGCCATTAACGTTACAGGAAGCTAAATTACCTCCCTGATTAATATGCTGTCATGGGGCTTCGAGATGCACGCGAGGGATCACTCTAGGCAGGTGCCCAAGTTTCTGTGGCACAGCGGCAACCAGGGATGGTTAAACGCCGATCCCCAGCTCCTGGATCATCCATCTCGGGGCAGAGTGGTGCCTGGGTTGTGCTGATCTGTGGCCCTGGCTGCTACGCCGCCTACCTCTTGAGGAAGTCCCCGAAGTCGCTTGCTCCAGCTTCACAGGTTTACATGTTGATCACATCAATCGTGACAAGGGTCTCCGCTATTTCGGGTTTCTGATGATGGCAGAGCCATTTGAACTGATTGATAGACTCTAGGCCTATTGAGACTTACCCATTGCTATTGGTTGACTGAATCCAGGAACTCATACGTGGACCAACAAGTTTGTCAGTCCGATTAAAGAGCCAGTAAGATGACAATATATATTTTTTCAATTAGGCTGCCAATAAAAAAAAACATTACAATCTTCATTCATATATTCGGATTTAGATTCTCAACCTGAAGCGTTGGCCTTCCACTGGATTCATCCCGGTTTATCGAGAAAGTGGCCTTGCCCAAGTTCCATCTCTTTCGCGCTGTCTCTACAAAATCCCCCTTGTACTGCCCAGACGAGTGAACATCGTCAGCCATATGGCCGAGACTATCACAGCCATGCAACAAATCGAAACTGGATATCAAATCTTCGGGGCAGTCGACCTGGTGGTTCCTAAAGGCGATTGCGTAGCTTAGGGCACGTCCAGCGATGAGGAAGGATATTACTATCACGCCGATTAAGAAGCCCGCTATACCCTCATTGATAAACAATCGTTCCACATCACGGACAATGTAGACCCCGGTTGATAGGTAGTCGAGTGGCCATTCCACCGGTTCGAAACCATTGAGAGCAGCTGCTGAAACATACACGGTCGTGTAAATCTTGCCGATGGCATCCATCATATCTTTTCGAAGAGCCTCTGCTGTGCTCGCATCAACACTGACCCAGGGTGTCGACGCATTTCGCCTTGCCACGTCGAACCGATCTAGAATTAGACCTCCAAAATAAGTCGTTTGGATATTGCTGAAAGTGCTCTTCGTGTTGCCAGACTGAAGAATGGCGCGGTCAAATGGGGTCGTCGTTCCTGCGTTGGCTTCTGATCCATTTGAAGGTTTGAAGCTTTTGACTGAGACGACATTTTCACGAACAGCAACCTCAATGTCTCCCTTGACACCAATATGTATAGTGTTTCCCGTTATAACCTCGGTGCTCATTGCAGTAGCATTGGAACCTGGGGCAGGCCAGCCCATGAAAAAGAACAATTTAGAGTATGACTGAGAGACCGAGGGGCCTAAATCTTTATTGTCGTCGCCATTCCGAGTACAAGATGCAACACCAATCTGAAAGTAAAGGTCCACTTCCTTTTCTGCCAGGTCGAAGCTGAGGGAGAGAAGGCATCCCTCATCGGTGCCTGAAAGGGCAATGTTGTCGGTCCCGTTCCCACGCGAGAGCCGATACTGCGACTCGTTCAGGAACTTGAGATTCTCTATACGGCCACCATGACCTTGAATGTCGGTTATGCGGATCGTGCTATTATCTCCCCAAGGGGTGCCGACAGCGCTATAGGTTGGAAAGGCATAGTCGCTGCTGGCCCATTGAGAAAATATACCCCCATTGCTTTTATACACGTCGAGAACAGAGGCAACCTGCAACGCTCTGCTATAGTCGGTTCGTTCATTCATATTCCCCGAGTTCCAGACTGTCTGTGCCGAGACCTCTGCCTCTGTCGGTTGCTGCCTCAGTCTCGTCTCGAACAAATGCGCAGAAAGCGGAACCGCGACGATGGAGAAAATGAGGGACAGCGTTATTGTGAATGAAACCATACGATGCGACCTCATCCACGCGCTGAAGATTGCAATCAATGGAAACTCGGAGCGGTAATTCACCAGAACACTTGTATGGCCCTTGTCGCGGCCCTTGTAAAGTTGGAGATACGGCAGCAGTCGTTGGACCTCTTCATAGCACCATCGCATATGGAGCAGAAGAAGCGAAAATATCAACGTCGGTATCGTGGTCCAGGTGAGCGAAATTTGGTCGTAAAATGACGAGTTTCCTGTATGGACGTATTGCCAATTTCGAATCGTCACGAGGCCGTGATTGTGAAGCGACACGGCGAACGCGACGGCCAGGAGAATGAGGTAGAGGGCATGTAGAATGAGAAGCCCGCCGACTTTCCACACCAGCCATTGTCGTCGTCGAAAGACTGTCGAGATGTGTTTTTGCGACTTCGTGAGCGAGGGTTCGGGCGGGGTCAATGATGGATTGGGCTGGAGAGGTCGCGTTGAGCTGATGGTCGGAGCAGGGCCCTTGGCAGATCCATGTTCCGTGGAGACATGATCAAACTCCTCTACAAAACCCATTGTAGAGCATCGATCGGGCACGACCTAGGGCTCTTCTTTGTTGGCGGCCAGGGACTCGGTCTCAGCGAGCATCACGATTGTGGGATGGATGGTCTAAGCCGGGTGGAGGGGCGCTCTCAGAAGGAAACCAGATTCGCATGAAACAGCTTATCAATGTGACGGGCTAGATAGGCAATTGTTTGCCAGTAAACCATTGTCAAATTAACAGGTGATGGCAATTTCCCCGGCTTTCTCCATAGACGGCAAGTGTGCACTCAATGCTTCTTAAGCTGTCCAATAACTGTTTCCACTACAACATGATCCAGGGCTGATTATGCCCCATATCTCGTCAAAGGATCAAATCCAATATTCCCATCCAATTATGGCTGGGCATCTGAGCCGGGGTAGGCTGGATGTAGGCTAGACCCGTGCCTACGTTTGATGCCAAGGTTGAATACGAAGTCCCCTTCAGCCTAGGAAGGCAGTGTTCCCTGTCCGATGCTACCTTGATTTTACCAAGCTTTCCAATTGCATGTGAGATAAACAAGGGGTGCTCCGCCACTCGATGCTTGAAAGCTTTCTCAGTCACATCGCGTGTGGGGGTGAGCGACCTCGCGCATTTTTGTTCTATTCGCGAAATATCCAATGCATGGAGCGACTGATTTCGTTCTAGAGAGATTTCCTGGCGGCCATGGCCCTCAACCCGTCGCCTATACTGCGCGACATCGCAGACCTGCCTGATATTACACCAGCTCCCGTACCGATAATTCAAATTACAGGGCTACAGGCTCGAGATTGGGCTCAGCCGTCGAACTGTGTTGACGAATTTTCAGCAGAACCTACAGGATGCGCGTCTCTAAAATCCATGGTGGCCGATTGCAAGAGTCGGGGCGGTCTGGACGGCGATGATATTCCAGCGCAGAGTATGCTTGTCAATCAGACCTCGTTTACAGGTTGCTTCTGCCAACAAGACCTTCTATCTCGTATTGTTGAGTAGGCCAACTCCATCCCAAACTGTCCGTTCGCGGGAAACAATGCCGACTAACATGTCTCGTCTCACAGATGCCAGAATGAACACCGGTTATGCATTCAAGACTATCTATTCGATCCCGAATTCAACCGATACCGCGAGCAATGGGCCAGCTTCTGCAGTTCAGCGATCCCATCTCTATCCGTAACGACGCCGTCCACCATAAAAATTACGTTCAAAGCCAACACCAACACATGCGCCTACCTTTCCACAGCCTGCATCCGATATTCAAGATATGTCAGCGACTGTAATTCCCAGTACGAAGGGTCAACTTCTCGGGAGCTCTGCTACTGCCAGTCTCATGTGCAAGTGGTCGAGTCCCTCTGCTCCATCAATGGAGGGGCCATCTGCTCCACGAAGCCGGTGGACCTGACAGGTCTTTGGGGATACGATCATTGCGAAACCTTCCTTGGCGATGTCGGGGTAAGTTGCCGGTCCAGGAACCCGAAGGAGTATTTGAAGTTGACGAAGATTCATAGACATCGACGAATGGAACATGGCGACGAAAAGCAGGCTTCACAGCAACAGGGACTAGTCTGGCACCGCTGGCTGGCTACCCTCTCACATATAACTCAATTGCAATTGAAACACACACGAGCACACAGGGTGGGGGTGGGGCGAGCAAAAGTCAACTATCGAGACGTCTACTGTGCACTATCTTGCTTGCCACAACGGCGTTCAGTCTTGTCGGCTTTTAAATCCCCAGCAGTTTTTTTTTGGGGGGGGCTGTGGTGTAATACGGCTTTGTACATGTGGTCGATCGAATTCTGAGATATGGAGATAATTCAAACCATGAGTCATGAGGTTACGAATTTCCTTAGAATTACGACTGTAATATCTACTGTTAGACATATTAATGCTAGCAGATCAACTATGCCATTGGGCATTGACAAATAATATTTCAATCTCGATAGGAAGTTCCCTAGTTACTGTAGTAGTACTTTACAAAGGAAATATTGACGAAATCAATTCTGAGATTTATGAGTCAGGCCTCCTGCCTAGTGCCCATCTGTATTCGCTCGCTGGTTGATAGACCTCCCTATTCTCGGACTTCATTTTAATTCGCCTCAAGATAACGAAGAGAGTGTAGCGAGTATCCCAATAAAACTGCAGATAATTCATATAAAAAGCGTATATAATATAAAGAGAGCGTGGATACTGTCATAAGAGCGTAGACAATGTAACACAGAGAGTGAAGACCATATAACAAAGAGAGCGTAGATTATTTCATAAGGATACTAGAGAAAACTACATCGAGTTAAACATTCTTCTCCACTCTCACATGAGTGTCACATAACTAGGAGATCTATCAAACTCAGTCACCGATCGTATTGTACAAACTAATTCTGAAACTGAATTTGACATTCAGCTCTATATCCCGCTCGATCGCTATAACCCTCGACTCATAGGATGGTTAAGAGTCAGCTGA